CAAAGCACATCAATGAGAAAATGGAACTACAAATTCATGATTTTTTATTTTATAAGCTTAAGTCTTTAATTCTCTATGATAAGTTAAGAGTTTATAATTTTTTATAGATGATGTTTGATCTATCTTGGGTGAATGATTATGTGTTTTTTGCGTTATTGGTCTGCAATGCTACATTATTAATATGCGACTGTATAGCAATTATAAATAAATTTATGTCTGATTATCTGATTATATTGATCATGATAGTATATTATTGATATACTATTATATATCATTGATACATAAGCTATATAAGCGAAAACTTACTAATTTTTTTATCATTGATATACAGCCGTATATCAATGATGTAGTATCACAGATCAATAATGGAGTTTCCTTTTCAATGTCTAATGTCCTCTTCATAATATTTGGAAAAAATAGAGAAGGAGAGAGAGGAAAAACTATGCAGTAAAGATGGTGATCCAAGCTGTGAATGCCATATTTTCTGCAAGACCAAATAAATAAATAAGATAATATCCATAATAAACTAATAAAAGAGAGAAAATAATAAGAATGAAAATAGAAAAATATTTTATAACAAAATAAATAAATAAATAAGTTAAAAAGGCATTGGATATGAAGACAATAAAAAAATATAATCAAGCTAAATCACAATCTAATATAATAATGAGCTATAAATATTTAAATATAATAATCAAAATATAATATAATCTAATATTATGATTTGAAGATTTTAAGATAATATAATATAATATCTTATATTAAGATTTTGAATGTTTCAAAATAATACAATAATCAGGATAAAATAATAGATAAGATAATAATTAATACCCAATCTCTAAATAATGATAATATAAGAATGTATAAAAATACTGATATATATCACAATACAATTGAAATTTTAGAAAAACTTTAGATATAGAGGTCTATATAAAAGAAAGCAAAGATAAAGCAAGGGACAACAAAAGAGAGACTCAAGGAAAAATTGTGAGAGAAAAATAACACTATAAAAAATAGCAAGGCAAGAGATCTAATTGACCGGGGCAATTAGAAGTAAGCTCATCTCTCATAAACTTGTACATTAGTAGGTCAATGGCCTTTAATCTAATTTATACGATTTGGGATTCCATATCAACACTGAGATTCAAGTTATAATATTCATCAATTATGTCTCAACGTGCTGGCTGTAAACTGTAATTGTGCTTTGTATTCCTTCCTTCCCCATTCACGCTGTTAAGATTGTGCGTCCTCACTTTCCAGTCATAGTATTTGTTCATTTTCGAATCTTTTCCACGTCAAAAATTTGCGGATATTTCATTTTCCACACTTTCCACAGCCCTCACATTTTTTTTTTTATTTGGCATATACATGAGAATAAATTATCAACATATGCATATATAAAATATTTTATATTCTTTTAATTGTGTGAGATTTTTAAAGTTCTCGCAATTGGTTAAGTTAAGTAATTTATTATACATGGCAATAAATTATTGTAATACATTATTAAAAATTTTTTATATTTTTTTAATTACATGAGACTTTTAGAGTCCATACAAGCTTATAAATTAATTAATTTATTATCCTGTACATAATGATAAATTAATTCATATATATAGTTTTGAAATCATCAATTGCATGAGACTTTTAAAATCCTCACAAATTCATAAGTTAAATAACTTATCCTATACAATGATAAATTATCGTGAATACATATTTTAAATTATTTCATCCTTAAATAAAAATAAAATATTTTCCTGAAATAAATAAAATACAATAAATCATATTTGGAAGATAGACTTTGGATACATGAAATTTTCATAAATCTTATCAAACTATTTTTCCCCAGAATTATTTCTCAAAATCTTGTTTTGAATAAATAAAAGAATAAAATAATTTCATAAATAAAAAATACAAACCAACATTAAAATTACTTTATAAAAAATTAATAATCAATATTTTTTCTTAAAAAATCTCAACTAAGAGACACGTATTTTTATCTCAAACTACATGAGCTTTGATTCCTCAAAAAATTACGTAGGCCCTAAAATTTTATCATAGGTCAAGTCCAATTAATAAATAAATAAAATTTTTTGTTTTAATTTTCTTACTTTTTTTATCTTATTTTTTATTAAGAATAATTGATATGTTTTTAAGGCCATTTGAATTTATATAGTTAATTTAAGATAATCATTTTCATAAATGGGTGTTGTGAGATGCTTAACACTTTTTCCGCATATAATCAACTTTGTTACGCTTTTCTTTATACGTTTACTATACAGTTAAAAAGATTTCCAAAACTACCCTTTAAAATTTTAATGGTGACTCCTAAATATATATTTTTTATTCGATTTTCTTCCTCAAAAAATTTCGGAAAGGGCATGACAGAAAAATTAGATAAAAAAGTTTAATGAAAAAAAAACACTATACAAGAGATGAAGATGATAATTCAGAAAAATTAGATCAAAAAATTTTATTAAAAAATATTTAAAGATGATAAATCAGAAAAAAAGCAAGCACAATATAATTTTTGATGATAAAGATAAAAGATCTAATCAGTTAAAGATTAGTTAAATCAGATATATTTTATTTTAATAATAAATTTACTTTGAGGATAAAAAAGAAAACATATCTAATTGATTTTATAAATGTATCATATTTTAAAATATTTAAAAATTTCATCAATAATTTATGAGAGTTGTTTTTTTGTTGCCATTAAACTAATTTTCTCTAATTTATATGAATTAAAATGGACATTAACTGAGATCGTAAAAGTAAAAATTAAAAAGATATGTTTTCTAAATTTAGACATGATTATAAAATATTTATTGTGAATTTTTTTTTCTAAATAACTACACAATTGTAAAGATACGCAGAATCGCCCTATGAATTATGACGGGCCTGCAAAGAAACTATCGAAGTTTGGCACAATAGATTCCAGGTCCGTATTTGAAGTCTATAATAAATCAATAATGGATGTCTCTCCAGACTCTGCATCTTATGGCCAGCTGGGGGTCCTAGCAGCATCTACAAATAATTAGGACCACTCCCTCTGGTTCTTTGTATGGGGTAATTCAGAATTTTTTTCATTCAAGTTAAGAACAATTATCAAATTGTTTTTTTCATCATGTATTACAAGAACGCTATTAAAATTGCAGGGATAAAAACAGAACACCGTTTGATATTATAATACACCTTGCCGAAGGGCAGTGAGAGCAAGGGCGGAGGCAAAAAATTTTTATTAAAAAAAGCGAAGATAATAAAACATATATAATAATTAAAAAATAATTAAGTTTATATATATCATCAACATAATATAAATATTTCAACATATATATTTATATTTAAATTTACATATATAACAAAAATAAATATATACATTTATTTTTTAAGTTTTACTCATCAATTTTTTATGATATAGAAATAATTAGTTATCATATATATGATAAATTTTTTAACAATTTCCTTCTCAATATCAATTATTATTAAATTAGTAAAGATTTCATTTTCCCACGAGCATTGAATAATTTAAATACATCATTAAAATTTAAAGTTCTTTTCAATCTAAAGGGCTTTACACTTATTTACTGAATTCATTATTTAATTATTTTAATTGATAATTATAGTAAATAAATATATCAAGGCGATAATAATACTCAATTGTTATAAATTCTTTATGTTAATGAAATTTAAGTATATCATGGTAAAAACTATTTATATAAAAAAGTTCAATATCTTAGTTATTATAGAAAAAAGTAATCTTTTTTAAAAGAACATATTTTAACCATAACCTCTTAATTTTTGGATAAATAATTTTGTGATAGATATTAATCACATAGTATTCAATGTATCTTGGAATTCTTATGGTAGTACTTGACAAAGTTTATTAATAATAATTCTCTTAATTTCTTTCATTAAATATAAAATGAAAGCAAAATTAAATTTTATCAATACTTCGAGAACAATTGTAATGTTATCTTATTGAAAATAAGTAAATCTTATAATTATATCTTGTAGCTACCGAAATAGTTGGACTATACATGCATAAAGGACTATTATAAAATTGAAGTGAGAATTCTATTTGCTATCTGAAAATTTTTATAATGTATTAATTTAGAGAGTTTGAAATATATAAACTTTACATTTTATTAAAAAAAAAATAAAAAGTTTGATGGCTGTTGCTTTTGCTAATCCTCTCTATCTCCATCTCTGTGGGAGCCTTAGAGTGTAGCAAACATGGCGGTACTTTTAGTGATAATTATTGTTCTAATAATTAATATTAATTAATTAACAATGATGTAACTACTCGCATCACAGGTCTCGGCAACTATGAAACCTCAGTCCAAGGAGAGAACGAATCAGACACGTAATCCGGTTTAATTAGGCAAAGACGCAATAATCAAGATATTTGTCCTATATATAGAACAATAGAAGCATGACAATATGCGTATTAATAAAAACTTACGGATATGAAAAGCCCGAAATCTACTAACAACATCTGCTCTATTACTTGCTAGCCTCACAGCATCTACGAATAATATTATTATATTCGACGAAGGCTCATCTAGGCCAGGTAGATTGAGAAGTGATTATCGTAATAAAATTTTACGTTATAGTAACAATCAACAATCTAATTAATCCTAAATAAGCAATGATCGATGTTACTGCTCGCAGATCACAACAAGTCTGAAACCCCAGTCCAGGCAAAGAATAGATCCAACGGGTGATATATGATGTTTGATCTTGCAGACACGTTTGTATTAAAAAAAATTAAATAGGAAGAGCTTGTCAAATTTGATCTTGCCTTTTACAAAATGTTGTGCTGTTAGGGTAGTGTTGTATTCCTGTGGCTTATAGGTTGTTTTAGTTGACAGTAAATTTGGGGAGCGCGGTTTTATTAAAATTCCAGGGGACCTCGCTGCTCAACAGCCAGTTGATTACTGATCGTCCCTCTATAAATACAGGCTACAAACAAAAACTCAAATCACGTCAAATTAAGACATCACTTTTAGATATCATATTTGACCTGTTTTGTGGAAAATTTTCATTTCATTTGAAGCAAACACAATGGTTGTACCGACTTCCTCTCATCTCAATTTTACTGTGAGAAGGCGCCAACCAGAGCTTGTAGCTCCAGCAAAGCCTACTCCTCATGAGTTTAAGCCACTGTCTGACTTGGATGACCAAGAATGCTTACGTGCCCACATCCCACTGGTGCATTTCTACCGTCACAAGGCTTCAATGGCGGGGAAGGACCCTGTCAAGGTCATCAAAGATGCTTTAGCTCAAACACTGGTATTTTACTATCCATTTGCAGGTAGACTCAGGGAAGTTGTCGGCCGCAAACTTTTGGTGGAGTGTAATGGAGAAGGCATTCTTTTTATTGAAGCCGACGCAGATGTAACGCTAGCTCAGTTTGGTGACAATCTTAAACCTCCATTTCCACGCTTCAATGAACTCCTTTACAACGTTCCTGGTTCTGAAGGAATCCTTCATTGCCCACTCTTGCTTATTCAGGTATGCTGTTATTTCCTTTACATACCCTACCCTTTTCTTAGACATGCTAAAGGAAGTTTGCAAATGCTAGGTAACACGTCTCAAGTGTGGAGGCTTCGTGTTTGCTATTCGTATGAATCATACAATGACCGACGGACCTGGCATTTTCCAGTTCATGAATGCTTTAGCCGAAGTAGCTAATGGGGCAAGTGAACCCTCCATCATTCCTGTTTGGCATAGGAAGCTTCTAAGCGCCAGGGACCCACCGCGTGTTTCTTGTACCCATCGTGAGTTTGATGAAGTGGTTGGTGCAACCATCCCCTTAACAGGCATAACATACGAGTCTTTCTTCTTTGGGCCAACTGAGATATCTGCCCTTCGTCATCTAATTCCTCATCACCTCCAGAAATCTACAACATTTGAGGTTCTCACAGCATGTCTCTGGCGTTGTCGCACTAAGGCTTTACAACTTGATCCGAATGATGATGTCCGTGCATTGCTCATCGTCAATACACGTTTTGGACAAGGTAGGTTTAACCCTCCAATACCTTGTGGTTATTATGGCAATGCTTTTGTGTATCCAGCCGCAGTAGCCACTTCAAGGGAACTTTGTGAAAGCCCATTAGGACATGCCTTGGAGTTGGTGAAAAAAGCCAAGGCAAAAGTGAGTGCAGAGTATGTGCATTCCATGACTGATTTTTTGGTTACTAGAGGACGGCCTTGTTTTACATCAACGAGATCATGGATGATATCAGATCTATCGTGTCTTGGCTTTAGAGATGTTAATTTTGGGTGGGGCAAGGCTGTGTATGCTGGTCTAGCTAAGGCTGGACTTGGACCGCTTACTGGAGTGAGTTTCTCCATCGCATCTGCCAACAACAAAGGAGAGGAGGGTAGATTAGTGCTTATGTGCTTGCCATCCAAGGCCATGAAGATATTTGGCAAGGAGTTGGGTAACATGCTTGGTAATTACGAGAACAATCAAAATTATAGCGCTATCCTGTCTCACTTGTAGTGACTAGCAAAAACAAGGGCAATCAAATTAGAGTATGATTTATAGTTTTTTTTTTTTTTTAAGTTTGTTAAGTTCGTCAAACGGGGGCAATTAACAATTTACATTGCTCTGTTTACATGCGCCTGTGTCTAATAAGGCTATTAAGAGAAGATAAGCAATAAACATTCACTTTACCTTTGTATTATATTCCATCCCTTTTTTGTAAATTATCTATGTACAACAATAATTTTGGGTCATTGTGTGTATTTTTTTGAATTATTTACTAAAATTTTTTTGTGATTTTTTAGGTCTTTTTTATTCATTTTTAGTCAATGGTCAAAATTTACTTTTATAAATAGCAAGAGTCATATTGCATAATTTTTAAAAATTAAAAAATAATATTACACTAAAAATAAGTTTAGGATTTAAAATATTTTTGAATCTATAGTTTATGAACTGGTTTATTTTTTTAACCATTGATAAATAATAATCAAGCATTCATGTCAAAAGCACCATTTAAATTTTCCTCTGATATATGAACTAATAACTGAAAAATTTAAATTCGAATTCAAGCAATGAAAAAACAGAAGAGATGAAAAAATAATAGTACGATAAAGAGGGGCGTATAGTACATTACGAGCTGTGCTATTCACGTGCTCGATAGCTAGTAAATCATAAAATAAAATATTATTGTTTAGGCATATGAGTAATCTGATTTGTATGAAATTTTTTAAATATAAATTTGTAAATATGGAGATGCAAGGGCAAATAAATATGGAGATGAAAGGCTTGTTTGAAATTATTTTTTTTTATTTTTTTGAGAACTTGTGTTTTATAAAACATGTTTGGAAAAAAAAATAATAATAAAAATAGTTATTTTTCACATTCTTCCTTATTTTTTAGAAAAATAATCATAGAATACTTAAAAAATGTCTCTGTTTTTTCATTTTTTTGGTTCTCAAACACTTTCTAAAAAATGTTACCAAGCAAATTTTTTTATTTTTTTAGATAACAGAAAATTATTTTCAAAATAAGCTGTCAAACAGACTTGAATTTTTTGGATTTTTGCAGGTCATTTTGTTTTTTGGGTTTTATTTTTTTATGAAAACTTGTGTTTTATAGAACATGTTTGGAAAATAAAAAATAATAAAAATAGTTATTTTTCATATTTTCCTTTATTTTTTAGAATAATAATCATAAAATACTTAAAAAATTTTCTGTTTTTCCATTTTTTGGAACAATATTTAATTGTTTTGATTCTCTAAAACACTTTCTAAAAAATATTATCAAACAAATTTTTTTTATTTTTTTTTAGATAACAGAAAATTATTTTTAAAATAAGCTGTCAAACAGACTTGAATTTTCGAATTTTTGCAGGTCATTTTGTTTTTTGGGTTTTTTGTGAGCTCTTAAACGTCACTTATAAAGGTTGGGCCTTGTTGTCCACCGAAGTCAGTCACTCTCTTCAATCAGGTATTCTCCGCCGACTCTCGGCTTTAAAATGTCACTTACAAATAAGGTTGGGCTCAATTAGGTATTCTAGGCCGACATGATCTGTAATTATGTTTTTCGGCCTGGATCCGTTATCAGTGTTTTCCTTTTTTGGTGATGCTCTTCAATTTAGGTATTCTCAGCCGACATGATCTGTTGATACTTGATAGGTTTCTCTGCCTGGATCCGTTATCAGGGTTCTTCTTTCCCAAACCCAAGGCTTGCAGGCGGGCCTATACCGTCAATTTAGTTACTGAAGCCCAAAATTGCGGTCTCTGTCATCGATCCACGTCCTACACAGTCCAAGCAAGCGGCTTGCAGCGGATCCCTGTCTGTCGCCCGCACTTCAGATCTATGAGCACTTCCATGTTCCACACTCGTCTCCGCTGTGATGTTGCTATTAAACCGATCGTTGCTTCTCGTAATTTGTTCTAAGGCATAGCTCGGTACTCGTAATCGGCGAACTTAGGAAGCCAGAATTTCCGAGATGGCTTTCATGGCGGTTTTGGAATCTGACCTTCGCGCTCTTTCTGCTGAAGCTCGCCGTCGGTATCCTGCTGTTAAAGACGGCGCAGAGCATGCAATTCTAAAGGTTACCGTTTAATGCTATACATTAATTTCTTGGTATTTCTTTAATCCCATGATATGCTTCTGAATTCATCTGCAAATAGCCGTTGTAACATCCAAACTTCCGTGTTTGGATTTAGTTTTTCAGAAAGTAACGTAGTGAGGCAGTCTTTGGTCATTTAGGGATTAGAATTAAGGAAGGAGAAATGTGACAAAGATTTCATTTCCACTCGTTGGGAGCATCACCTTTACTCAAATGGCCTTATTGAACTGCACGATTCAGTTTAAAGTGGCCTCAATGCTGATGTTTGGTTGCTCATTGAAGAAAATGTAACTTGATTGTCGTTCAAACAAAATTTCGAATGATGCTCAGATAAATATCTAAGTGCGCGAAAAGAAACCAGACTTAAGTGCTTGGTGTACGGATTATTGTTTAGCATCATGCATTGAGGCCACATTATGCCTATATTTGGTTAGTTTCAGATGCATCGTACTTAGCTGAAGTTCTCAAAGAGACTGTTTTGTGCACTTTACGTCATTTTCTAAAAATAGAAGGACTCAAGTATGATTTGCTTACATTTCTTATTATCATCCACTTGCAGCTTCGTTCTCTGTCAAACCCCAGTGAAATCGCACATAATGAGGACATATTGAGAATATTTCTGATGGCATGTGACGTGCGAACAGTTAAGCTTAGCATTATTGGACTTTCATGTCTGCAGAAACTCATATCTCATGATGCAGTTTCTCCATCTGCTCTTAAAGAGATATTATCCACACTGAAGGACGTAAGTCTAGATAATTATTCAGTGCATGTTATAGTTTCAAATTTTTAGTACTTTCAGCTCGATCTTGCTTTCACCTGTACTCTCAGGCCTCACCGTCTATGCTGGCATGATCATTTTGTGGCCTAGCCATGTTTGCATGGAAGTTGATCATTGTTACTTTTGTTACTCCTGTTACTTTGATAATGTGTTTCATTTCATTATTTTTATGCAAAATCCAAGGCATGACATTAATTTTCAACGTTTTGGAAAAGCTAACTTGTGCCTTTATGGTCTACCAAAAATTGTCCCCCCCCCCCCCCGGGGCAGCATGCTGAAATGGTAGATGAGGGTGTTCAGCTCAAGACCCTGCAGACTATATCAATAATATTCCAGTCACGTTTACTCCCTGAAAATGAGGTAACCTTCAGCTAGTGAATAGAACTCTATGCAATTGCTATATAGAAAGTAGAAGCTGTGTTATAGTTGGAAGCTGGCTCATGAGCAGAATGGACTCAGTTAAATGTAATATGTCTAAATGAGGATTATGTATCTTGACCCTTGATGGATTTGAAGCTAAACTTGACTATAATAGAAATTTATGCATCTGCTATATAGAAAGTAGAAGCTGTATTCTCAGTCTTCAAATTGATTAAGAACATGCTTGCCTTGACCAATGAATGAACAAGGGAAGTCTAATCCTGAATCTCATTGGAATTTTTTGTAATGTCGCACATACTAGTCAATATATAAATTCTAGAAAACATGTAGTATGTTTATTTGATCCACTAGTAGTGATAAATTTTATACACTGCCAATACACATGAAATTGCCATATCACCGTGGTAACTTTGTTAGAATTTTCAACATATTTAGAAACACATGGAAGCTTCACTGTCTGTAGAAAATTCTTTGCACTAATGTTGGATCAAACTTTAATCCATATGTAATTAGTATTACACAATACCTTTACATACTACAGATGTAACAAACTTCCATTTCATTCTACAAAATTCAAGCTGAAAAGAACTCCTCTGTCCGTTTTTATGTATAATTTGTATAATGCATTTTGAATATTCTGCATTTTACTCTAATGAAATGATACCTAATCATGCGACATCTTCTCATGCATACATTCCCTTCTGTATAATCTGTCTTATGTATCTGCAGTGTCGCTATGGAAAGATGGATGTTTTGTATGCAATGGTTGATGATATATTTTGCTTTTGTTCTTATAATGAACTTAGTGTCAACCATGATCCATGAGTATTCAGGAAATGAAATATTGGACAGATCATGTCTAAGATGTTAAGCAGTTTGAGAGAACACTTGGATCATTGAGTGGTCACTGAAAAGGCTGATGAAAGTAGGATATGGATCTGATATTATAATGTTGCATCATCGCTTAATTTTTGCCCCTGTAGTGATTGCGGATTAGAAAGATGTATCTGAACAATATGTGGTTTGGAATCACTTATTAATACATGGATGACTTGTTTCCATTCAAAGGAATCTGCTCAATACAATTTTGTTTACTCTTGTGTAACCCTTTTGCATCCAGCAGTGTTATTGACTAGTCTCTTTACTCTATCACTTAGCAGACTTAACAGTTGCTAATTACTGTTATTTTAATGATGAACTTATTATTCTTGGCATCTTATTAATTTCAGCATACAATGGCCCAAGCTCTTGGTATCTGTCTCAGGCTTCTTGAAAACTCTCGATCTTCTGATAGTGTGCGGAAGTAAGGGAATATTATATTGAGCATCAACAAACTTTTCTTAGTGTAGCCATTTGTCTATTAATATGATATTCTTCATCTGTTGCCTTTCATTCATAGAGATACTAATTTCTTGTGCATCTATTTATGTTCTTTTGCAATTGTTTTGCAGTACTGCTGCTGCTACCTTCAGGCAAGCAGTGGCCTTAATTTTTGATCAAGTGGTTTTGGCTGAGTCTCTTCCTGCTGGCAAATTTGGTTTTGGCAATCAGCTTTCTCGTACAAGTTCTGTTACTGGTGATGTTAACCGCAGTATCAATTTGTCAGAGTATGTCCCCCCAACCCATTTATGAATGCAATCCAGATCAGTCTTATTTCTGTTTTACTAAATCAGAGTGGTGTGCGACATCATTTTTTTTTTCTTTTTATTATAGTGGATGTTTATAGACATTTTAAGTTTTGTTGTCTCACATTGAATTCAAATCTGAACTGATGATGTGAAGATTATTGTGCACAGCTCATTATATCATGAATCTTTTTTTGGAGGGCCTCCATTTAAGAGGGAGACTTTAACTGAAACTGGAAAACTTGGGCTTCGGTTGCTTGAAGACCTAACATCTCTTGCCGCAGGTGGATCTGTATGTGCTTATTTGAAACTACTTTTTTGTTTTAAAGCTAGCTCTAGTTTGTAGTCTTTCTTGTTTGTAGGTACTTAGAAAGTAGGGAGTATCGCATCCAAAGACCTCCCAAGAGAATTATTCATGGAAAAGGAACAACAAGTCACCATTTGGAGAAAAAACATGTCTCTATTACCATTTTAACAACAAACAATTCTATATTGGTCCTTATCTGTGAATAATTTCATTGGGAGACCTTTGAATGTGATTCTCCCTGGAAAGTAATTTAGGTGTTCATTTTTACCTATTTCAAGCAGCTAGTGAAATGAATTGATATTTAGTTTATGGTATTTCTTACAGCATTAACCTGGCAATGATTCTACAGGCAATTTGGTTACGTGCTAATATTCTTCAGAGGGCATTTGCACTTGATATACTTGAGTAAGAAATTTTTTGGCAGCTTGTGGTTTTTTTTTCATGCGATTTTGTGCAATATGATCTATGATTGGCTATCTAACATTAGTTTCACTTGATTCCACTAATGTCATGTATTAAAAGCCATTTCAAGAGGCGCTAGAAATGAGCTTGCTTGACTGAAGGAAGGTGCCAAAATAAGAAAGAAGCTGAAAATATACTAGATAAATGGAAAAAAATAAATGTGAATTATTTTGATAACATTTGACATATAGAATAACTATTCAAAGCATCGTAATAATGTAAAGCAGCTCATTGCTCCAGCCAAAGCAAAATGAAGCTGGGCCATTGTCTTTTGTTTTTCTATTTTGCTTTTTCTCATGTTTAAGGTGAATTCTTGTTCTCTATATTTGTATACTCTATTATTTTCTCTTCACATCAATTAATTCTTTTTCAGAAAAGCTTATGTCAAACTATACTATCTTTTTTTAAGATGGAAATATGTCAAAATTGTAAAGCAAATAAGATTTGGAACCTAATATAGGTCCTACGTGCACTGACTGATCATGTCACTGTAAATAATTCTTTTGAACTGTTATCACCAAGTTGATGACTGATGATCAATTGTTCTCAAGTCACCATATGTCTATCTAATGCTTTTCACGATAATAATTTGTGCAACCCTTTATAGGTTCATTTTGTCCAATCATGTGGCTGTTTTCAGAACATTGCTACCCTATGAACAGGTTATTGTTGTTATCTCAATTCAGAAAGTTCTTACTTCCAGGCGCCAGCATATTCATTGTTCTGTTATTTTTTGATATAATTATTGAAAAAATTGGCAGGTTTTACGAGGACAGATTTGTTCACTTTTGATGACTTCCCTTCGTACCAATTCTGAGGTAGTTGCTCCCCTTTTGACTATTTTGTGGCTGAATTCAATTAAGTTTTTCTTAGGTCAACAGAATTCAGTTAAGTTAAAAAGGAGTTGTCTTTGCCATAATTCTGTAATATTTGATTAGCTTGAAGGAGAAGCCGGTGAACCTAGCTTTCGTCGTCTGGTCTTGCGGTCAGTTGCTCACATAATCAGGCTTTACAGTTCATCCCTTATCACTGAATGTGAGGTAAATTTTCTAGTTCCATGCTCTTTTAGCCACTTGTCTTATTCCAATAATTATTAAATTATCCAACAATGGCCCTTTTTAATAGTTTTACAATTTGGTTGGTTGCAAATTCAGACATATCTAATTTATTCACTTTCTGTGCAGGTGTTTCTCAGCATGTTACTGAAGGTTACTTTTCTTGACTTGCCATTATGGCATCGCATTCTTGTTCTTGAAATCTTGAGGGTAATGTAATGTGCAGTAAATTACTCTGAATTTATTTTGCACGAGACATTAGTTTCCTGTGTGAATAGTTAGTGTAATGACCCAGGATATGTGTAGGGTTTCTGTGTGGAGGCACGGACACTGCGGGTTCTTTTCCAAAATTTTGACATGTGAGCTAAATATCTTTTTATTTAATGGTACTATGCATAATGCTGTTCAATTCTCTGCCTTGTCTCTTGCTTGTGCACTCTACCTGATATCAGAAGAATGGTGATATATTATTTGTATACCTGCTAAGTATTTGCTTACTCTGTCCAAATAGCATGTATTTACCCGTACTATACCAGGATATGTTATTTCTTAATGTCTCCATTTAAGAAAACGTGTAGATGGAAGTAAATCATAGCTACTGACATGTGTATTCTGAAACTTGTAAAGATTTTTCAAAATGAGTGGCTGGACATGCAGAGTGATTGGTGAGATTTGCTTATTTGGCTGGGGTGTGTGTGTATGTGTTGGAGAGCCCTTGGTTCTTTGCAGCAGTGGCATGGTATTGTAGTGAAAGAAATCTACACATGGGATGGGCGTCTTATTCTTCTCTCCTTTCTTGTCTCTAGCAAAACATATTTTAATATAAAAAAGGGGCTGAAAAAGGAATTGTTTAACTTTGGTATAATATTATCTTCTGAGTTCTGATTGGCTACAAAATTCAGATTTTGCCTCATTAAATGCAAGGAGAAACTAAAAAATCAGTTTGTGTTTTTGCTACATAATAACAAACAAGATATATAGGCTTTTGAATAGTTCTCTTTCTTTTAAGTAAGATATATAATTCACTTTTCAGATTTATTGTTTCTTGTCTATTTTTAAGATAGCAGTAGTATTCTTTTCTAGCTTTTTGGGAACATAACTTCTGGTTGTTAAGAAGCTTGGCCGTGTAAGCACTGTTTATGAGTGTGATCGATATCCTTATTTTTGCTGTGACATTACAATTTTGCTGAAAATTACCCGAGTGTTTTTTTGGACTGTTTATGAGCATGATCCATATCTTTATACCTGGTTTAGCATTGCGTAATTACCAAAAAAAAGATTATTTTTAAAAATTTACATGTGTCCAATGCAGTTATATCAAAGTCTGACTTTGAATTCACTATGTTGAATATTATGATACATATAAGTTTTTAAAGTGCACAGTGGATGGCTCTTGGCATTTTCCACTTGTTATTATGAAACTGAGATATATGTTTAATTTCTTATTAGCTTTAAAGTGGAGCTTTGGAACTTCAGTTCTCAAGAGTGGTCCCTTGACACCCTGCTAATTTGTTGAAATTTAGGACAATATCTGATTTTTTTTTTTTCCTTCATTGATTTCTCATCAGACTATTTCCAATTTTGACATTTTCTGATGTAAAGATGTTGATAAGATGAACTGGTTCTGCATTCTTATATACATATTTACTACTGCTATTAATTGAAATTAGGCACCCCAAGAACACAAATGTTGTGGAGGGTATTGTCAAAGCTCTTGCTAGAGTTGTTTCAAATGTTCAGGTAGATTTTGACAACATATCTTTTTAGCCCATTTTCCAGTCACACTTTGTGGACGTGGACGTTGTATTGGGAAAAAAAAAAATTCAATGGTATCATTGCATTGTCCTTGTTTTGCCTCTGAATATGGCATACTATCTTGACCTGAATTTAATTGGATTGCCTTCTCCCTGCCTCAAACATGTATATTAAAATTCTTTCCCTACTGTCAACACATTTTCTCAAGAGGCTTGTAGTTACCATGCATATATTAATTATCTTGAAGATTTGGCAGTCACTTCTCCTTTGCCTAGATTTGAAAATGTTGTCATGCTTAGTGGAGACTTTGTTCTCTAGGTTCAAGAAACAAGTGAGGAGAGCCTGGCAGCTGTTGCAGGAATGTTTAGTAGCAAAGCCAAAGGTATTGATTTTCATTGCTAAACTTGGCGCGGTGTCATCAATGCAAATAATGTTGTATGAGACTATACCTGACTGTATATGGTCCTTGGTGAACTGAGACGTGTCTGGGACTTCATTCCCCTCTGTTTAATCTTTTAGTTGATTTTGGGCTCTGATACTCGCTTGGTTAAAAAAAAAAAAAAAAAAGAAAGGTATTGATTTTCAGATTGTGGTTGAACAATTTTGTTGTGACATCTTCCAAAAAAAGGTTCAGCTTTATAATTTTTTTTCAACCTTTTGTTCTGCCTGTTCTGTATAATTTGATAACATGTGTTACCTATCTTTTTGATCATCTTTATCTGCTTCATTTAGTTGTTAGAAACATGGATTTCAACTACCAATTTCTCTTTAGTTCTGCAACTATCCTTCCAACTGATAAGATGCTATCTGCTCCTCTCCTCCAGGACCCATCTTTAGACCATACAAAGTCCTTCATAATTTTGTGAATTGTCTGAGCTACTCAAACGGCAATTTGTGATAGGAAAAGTTAGAAAATGGGAATGTGGAGAAATAGGCATGATCAAGAGGGTCATGTTCAATCAGAGAGAAAATAGAACTATTTCAAGCGTTCAAAGCCTTGAAAACTTTCTAAACCACTTAATCATTGAGCAAAAAGGGCCAAAGGAAACTTTGCCTAAAAGAACATCTTCTTACATGTGTAAAGGACACCATATTCATATGAGCATGAACTGTTGAAGTTAAGATGAAGAATAAATTTGGCAATATGCTCACTCTTTCACTTGCTATGATTTTGTGTGTAACATATCAGATTTTGTTTCCATTGAAGGTATTGAATGGAGTCTGGATAATGATGCTTCCAATGCTGCAGTCTTAGTTGCCAGTGAAGCGCATGCGATAACTTTGGCAGTTGAAGGTTTGTTAGGGGTTGTCTTCACTGTAGCAACTATAACAGATGAAGCGATGGATATTGGGGAGGTAATTCTATTATTCTTTATGATTGTCCCCCCTTGCTTCTCTTGCCTAATGGATTGCTTTGTCTTTGTTCTACCAGCTTGAATCCCCTAGATGTGATAACGATCCACCAGTGAAATGGACTGGGAAAACTGCAGTTCTTTGCTATTCAATGGTTGACTCTTTGTGGTTGACGATACTTGATGCATTATCCCTTATGCTGTCAAGGTTTGTTTTATACTTGCATTATGTGTGTGTGTGTGTGTGTATAGATGATACAGATCGTGTGGAAACAGAGGCCCGAAAACAACAATGCCTCTGGATTACCATAATGTCTCTGTCGATGCGAAAAAGAACACAAGTGGAGGTCATCATGTAGTTTATTTTAAATGCCCTAAGATATGATAGTTGCAAGCATAGGCATAACAACCCTATCTAAAAACTCAAAATTGTAGGCAACAGATAACACTGATAGATAAAAGAAAAATAAATAAATCTGAATAAAATCAGAAGATATTTGGTGATCCACTCTAGCAGATCACAAACAATGTGATCTCTTGTAGTGTGATCTCTTAACACTGGCCCTCATGTCTTGGCTTGGAATACAACTCATCAAACTTCGCATGAGCAAGTGCTTTGGTCACAATGTTCACAACTTGAGAGCTTGTGGGAACATAAGTGACTTGAAGCAAGTGTGAGTGTCTCCGATGAAATGATGATAATTTCCATTTTTTTTTAAATCATGATGGACCATGTTCTTACTGATTAGGATGGTTGCTACAAATGCTTGCAGCTTGGAAGATCAACTATAGTCCAAGTTTTATTCTTTTGAAGTGCATTTAACTTTTCCATTGCAACTCACCACTCTTTCTTTGATATGCCTCTTTGTTATAGTTTTATAAAATGTTAATGTTAGTTAGTTGGAATTGAATAACGGTTTAGCGGTGCTGTGAAATTAGCCGTTGGGTGAGGTAAGTGGGTGAAGCCTATATATATGTTAAGGCATTTGAATTGTAGTTTTTATCAGTGACTAAATAGAATTTCCTTTGTTCCTCAATTTCTCTTGACCTCTTCTTAATCTCTCATTCCTCTCTGCCTCTACCTATCTTTCTGTTCTTCTCTCATCTTTTCCCTCATCTCTTCCTAATTCCTACAAGTCCAAATTATTTCTACGCAACAGTGGTATCAGAGCAGACGCTCCTCGGCCTCTCTCTCTCTCTCCCCTTCTCTCTCTCCTGTTCGACGATATATGGTCAAGACTCGGAGACAGATCAAACAAGATCAGCATCAGATGGAAGACTTCTTGGTCAAGATTGAAGAAAATAATGGCAAGATTGAGGCTTTGACTGACCTGGCTGATGGGCTTTCTCGGCAACTCCAATTACTTCTAAATATCTGAATGTTTGTTTGGAATTGGTTCTGGATAAGTTTATGGAAATTTTGGAAATGTTGTTTTAGATTTTTCTTTTAAAAGCGGTACCCCTAGGTTAATCTAGTATGGTCATGAATGAACATGACAATCCACCTTGCACCATCTTTTCAGCTTTTGATGGACCTCATACTTGTTATGTGCTAGAGAGAAACGTTTAGATGATTGGTGTTTTCATGACAGGTAGGTTGGTTTGGTAGCTGAGAGAATAGGCATAACAACTTAATCTAACTACCCGAAATTACAAGTAATAGATAAAATAAAAACAATATCAAATAAATTTAAAGAAAATCATGAGATATTTGGCGTTCAACATTTCTTTACAAATTTAAAGCTTTACAAAAAAAATGCTTGTTAATTTGTTGAAAGAGTTTATATCATTTTATGCTTGAAACTAATGTGGTACATTATTATTAAGATATATTGATACCTGGCAAACTTGATCCAAATTTTGAGTGTGATTAGCAGGATGGCAGCTTTTAATTATATTGTAGATGATGGATTTTGTGTGATTTCCTCCATATGATATGGTGGATTGTTGAAAGCTCTTTTACAGTATTAAGTCTGATAAGGATTTTGTATGTTTTGAGCTTCGTCTTTGTAGTTTCACACAATATGTACTTTTTCTTCCTTTACCATAAATAGTTTGGTATGATTCATTATGTTTTACATTGGTGTCGTCTAAGAAATTCCTTCAAGTCTTACTAATGGATGATTTGAAGGTCACAAGGAGAAGCCATTGTATTGGAAATACTCAAGGGATATCAAGCATTCACTCAGGTAACATGGTTGTGGTTCTACATTCTTATTTCAGTGATTTTAAGAATGATGAATTATCAACTTTAGATTTGTCTTTGTTGACATGTTAAATAACAGGCATGTGGGATTCTTCGAGCAGTGGAACCTCTAAATTCATTTTTGGCATCCCTTTGCAAATTTACGATTAATTTTCCTGTTGAAATAGAAAAAAAGAGGTATGGAATTGTAATCACTAGATTATCATGCTCTGCTTAATGATTACTAGTGTAGCGTTTAAGAATTCAAACTGGCAGTGCTGGTATTTAAAATTTGAGATTTTGAGCAGTACTTTGCAGTCTCCTGTATCAAAGCGGTCTGAATTATCAGTTGATCAGAGGGATAGCATTGTGCTTACTCCTAAGAATGTACAGGTAGCTCTTCTGGTTCAATGATGCTTATGCAGTTTGCAATTCCCCCCTTCACTTGTTTTGAATCCCCTTTGTAGCTTGTTCTCTATTTGATGGATTTATAACATTTGGTTGCTCATACTTTTGTGTTTCACTCTGACTGATCCTGGAACTAGGCCTTGCGAACTTTATTCAACATTGCTCATAGATTACATAATGTTTTGGGCCCTTCATGGGTTTTGGTATGTTTTTATATTTTCCATGTTATTTGTTAGTAGGTTGAGTTCTTGTTCGTAAATGATTACATTGAATAACTGCAGGTTTTGGAAACTTTGGCAGCTTTAGATCGAGCGATTCATTCCCCTCATGCCACTACTCAGGTAAATTTGTTAATTTTATTGTTCTTCAGTGAAATGGGCTTGCATCGCAATGCAAGTTTTTAATGGAACTCAAGTTAAGCCACACACTAGCTATGTGGACAATGTGTTACTTCATATATAGGTAACTACTTGAATGAATAGTCTTGTTGGTTGCTTTCAATTGCTGAAATAAAAGGGTGGAAAAGTTAAACGTGGATTTTACTTATTAGCCTAATGTAGTTACTTAGAAATATAAATCTAACCCATTTTAAGGTCTTCTCCAAATAGCTGAAACTTTTGGGATACTTGTTTCTATGATAAGCAGTGGGGAGTTTGATTTCAGTGCTTGTAGAAACGAGTCTATGCGACTTAGCTGAAAAAAGGGGTTCTTAAAAGTATAAAGCAAAACCATTTCTGGGCTTTCGTCTAACAGCTTAATTATTTTTATGGTTTCTTTTTTTTTTTGGGGGACATTTGGAAAGTTAGATTGATACTTGAACATAAATTGCCTATATTTTTTATGTCTGCTTTGTAGTAAAAGCTGATTTCACCTATTAATTTAGCTCTCTAGAGTTGAGAACAAGTGTGAAACTGATGGAACCCTCTACGCTAATAAACTTAAAACAAGCAAAAATACAGAAAAATACACAGAAAATGGGACTAAACAGAATAATGGAGTTGTATTACTAGCAAAATGAACTAAAAGTACAGAGTACATGAAACAACACAAAATACAACCCAGTACAGCAACAAAAATATAAGTTACACATGAACAAATGATGAAGAAATATATCTTCCTCCACCCCAATCTGGCATTCGAGAGGCAAGAGCTCTCCTCACCACTCACAATTTTCAAAATACTCCACACCCTCCCTCTGGACGAAAGGAGAGATTTAAAGACCCAAAAAGTTACAAAAGGTTGAACATAATCCTAGCTGAACCTAATCCCTATTCATACATCACTTTGTCCCCCTATGGCCAGGAACTTTTGGGTAATTCTTTTATCCACTGGAAGATAATTCTTTAGTCTCTTTCCTACACCATGTCCCTTCATATAGACTATGTTATAGGCCCTAGGAAATGATATATAAATCTGTTCTAATTCTTCAGCTCTATCAGAAACATTTTCAGCAATTATATTAGCATGAACAAGAAGTAATATATCGCTAAATGCTTAGTTAAGGTGAACAAGTTTTTTCTGTTATTCGTATTACCTTAAATTAACTGATCGTTAGATAATCATGAAATGTACATTTCCATGGTTGAAACAACTGTGAAATTCTAGGCACAATGACGTTCCAGGAAGATTGAAGTTTGGCTTTGAGGTAGGATGGGAAGGAAAGTAAAAGAGTGACAAATGTTGGAATATTTTCTGATGATCGTATTCAAGTTTTTACATGGCATTTATATACTTAGTTGGATACCAACATAGGAAAGAAAATAAATCATAAATAATGAAATCGATTGTAACTTTAATTTAATCTTTAGTGAACAAAATTGTAGGAGTCAGTTTACTCTTTGTACATTAATTATACTTAAAGCATGATGTGCATTATTGACTGTCAGTTGTGCTGCATGATGCAAAGCATCATAATGAACTAACCTTAGCCATAGATGATTTTGCAAACCTCTCTACTAATTTATCATCCAGGAGTCCTGTAGTTATCTCTGTTCATTATCTCATGGGATTGTTATTGTCTTTGAGGCTTCCCCTTTGTATTCACGTTTATCATGTTAAATATATATATATATATATATATATTGTAGTGGAGAGGGCTTCCATTGTGTGTATAAATATTCAAGTGAGCAAGCCTTCCTATTTACCATATGTGTTTTGACCACAAATTTCAACAGCTGTGATATAATTAGAATGTACACTTGCATAGTGCGACTAGCATGTGTTAGTTGTATTTACAATTTCTCAAGATACCATGCGTGGTTTTTCAAAGTAAATTTTATTTGTTACTTATTTTCTTTAAAAAATTTGTTTGGATATATGTCTGCAATTGCGGCTTATAAAGGTCCATTGCAATTAAATCTACAGGAGGTCTCTACCCTAGTCCCAAAGTTCACGAGGGAGTCATCTAGCCAATATAGTGACTTCAATATCCTCTCTTCCTTGAATTCTCAGGTGAGTTAACTAGATTCAATCCTCATACATGAAATTTAACTTAAAACTTGTAAATTGAGTATGAATATGAGTTTGAGTGTCAGCAAAAAATTTTCTCGACACTCTTTGTGGAAATCTCTTATATTTATTGTAAACATTGTCTTTTAACGTATAGACTTTATTAGTGTTTGTTAGACATTATTAGTATTTATTCCCCTTATTGTATATATGGTCAGGATGTATCTTAGTATTGCATCAATGAGAAATATTATTTTCTCCCAAATTCCACATGATATCTGAGCTGAGGGGGAGAGGGAGAGGAAAAATAACACCTAGGGTTTGTGTGAGTTGATGAGAGGGTTCGAATTTGAGAGGGTGATCTCACCACCCACCTAGGGTTGACAAGGATGCTTCGATCGACCAGACCCAAGAAGACGGTGGCAAACGGCGACATGTTTGGTCTCCAAGCACCACCTTCATGTTCAGCTCCAGTGAAGCTTCTTTAACAAGTAAAGGTGTGTGCATGGCTGTTTTTGGCAACGGTCATCTCTAGTATTGTCTTCCTATTTCCAACTTGTTCCTCCATTGTTTTAGGCATAGGTTTGTATTTCTCCTTTGAAGAAGTTAGAGGGTGGGCAATTTCATGTGTTTGCCTATTGGTTCTTCTGTATTATGCACTTCTTTTGTGCAATCAAGTTTTTCCTCTATCTAAGAAGCTTTCGAGGAGCAATCTTCACCTCCAACTTCACAACAGTAATGTTGCAGCAATTTGAGATGTAATAGAGGTTTGCTCAGATAATCTAGAGCTGAAACCTAGGTGCAAAATTGCTAAGTCTAAATTTGTAGTGGTTGTGGGATATATCTTGAGGTCATTATCTTCAGTATTAGTGGCCAAAAAAAGTAACTTCCTTTAAACTCTAACAACCGCACGGAGTAAATCTTTCTAGATTGTTGACTCCATCGCCTCTAATTGTTTGCCTAGTCACAATTTGTTTGCCACTTACACCCCATGTCCTGGGAATATTAAAATAAAGATTGCAGATGGCTCTTTACTACTTGTAGCTGGAAAAGGGAGTATTTGAATTTCAAATTCTATAGTGTTGGAATTTGTACTTTATGCGTCTAAGCTTGATTGCAATTTCTGTTTGATCAGTCCATTAACTAAGAAGTCAAATTGTTATGCTAAATTTCTCCCATTCCATTGTGTGTTTTAGGATCTATCATTGGGATCAACAATCAGAAGTGTTAAGGAGTATGAGAGGCACTACTATTTTGAAGTCTCTACTCGAGTGAACTGATTGTTGATAACTTTGCCTCTACCTCTAAAGTTAATGATTTTATGTTGTAGCATAAGAGGTGGGTCTCCTTAACTTTCATTATCTTAGATGATTGTTCCCAACTCTATGCCGAAACTTGAATATTAATGACATTCATTGTGAAGTGTGAACTTGTCAAACATCACAAAACCTCATTTCCTAGAGCCACATACACCTACCAAACCTTTTTCAACCATTCATAGTGACTTATGGGGACCATCTTGACCTCGCAATTATACTAAAACAATATGGTTCATCTCCTTAATTGATGGCAATACTCTTGTCTAGTAGGTTTATCTTTTAAGAAACAAGTTTGAGGCTGCCTTCATATTCATCAATTTCTTCAACATGATCAAAACCCAATTCAATACCACCATCCAAGTATTACACACTGATAATGGCATTGAGTACTTTAACCAATCGTTCAATGCTATCCTTTAAATGCATTGTATTGTTCATACCAGTTCTTGTGCCGATACACCTTAACAAAATTAAGTTGCATGAAGGAAAAATTGACATGTACTTGACATTGCTAGAGCACTTATGTTTTACTTGCAATGTGCCCAAGTTTTATTAGGGAGATGCTATTTTGACTATAACCTACCTAATCAACTATATGCCAGTCAAATCTCATCCTTTGAAACTGCTATCCACAAATTTCAAAGTTTTTCTCCATATCCAATATTGAAATCAATCTTCCGCTTCATGTGTTTGATTGCACAACCTTTGTCTACAATCACCAAAGCACTAAACTTGAACCTCGAGCTATTAGATGCGTATTCCTTGGTTATTCTACCACTTAGAAATGATATAGATGCTTCTTGAACTATGGTTTTCACTAAGTGAGCCAATACCACCACCACCTTTTGAACCATTACCATCACCTACCCTATTAAGACCACCATCCTCTCTTTTGCCATAACCTGAGGAACATAGGTAGAGAGGAGGATATGTAAAGAGACCACAAAAGGGATAATTGTCAGTTTACACTTGGATAAAGAAACTGAAACACATTGAGCAACTTGTACCTAAAGTACCAAGAGAGTCTGAACTAGAGGTAGCTCTTAAAGTAGAATTCATGGAGACTTAGATGATACAAAACAAGCGAGGGAATTTATTGATCTTGATCTTCCTATTGCTTTGAGGAATCAACCTTGTTCATGTACTGTTTATCCAATAGAGAGGTTTGTTTCATAGAATGCACTTTATCCTCAATATCGGGCCTTTGTTGCTAATCTTGATACGGTGAAGGTACCTGAGACTATACAGGAAGCCTTAAGCATCCCTAAATGGCAAAGTGCTGTCACGAAAGAAATGGAGGCCCTAGAAAAGAATGGGACATGGGAATTTGTTTAGCTACCTAAAGGAAAGAGAATAATGAGTTGTAAGTGGGAATTCACCCCAAAGTGAAAGGTTGATGGAACCCTTGACAAGCTTAAAGCATGCGTGGTTGCAAGGGGGTTTACCTAAATATATGGTCTGGACTATGAAGGAACATTTGCTCAGATGGTAATATTGAAAAGTATTAGAGTCTTACTATCTATAGCAGCTAATATTGAGTGGCCTCTCCACCAACTTAACATCAAAAGTTCTTTTCTTAATGGAGAGTTGAAGGAAGAAGTCTATATGACTCTACCTCCCGAGAACTTAGAAACTCAAGTCTGTAAATTGAAAAAGTCTATATATGGCTTGAAACAATCACTAAGAGCTTGATTTGATTGGTTCTCAAGAGTCCTAAAGTTTGAAAATTACAAGCAAGCCCTATTTGACCACGTAATGTTTGTTAAAGTCAAGGGAAGCAAGATATGTATCCTTATTGTGTTGTCGATGATATAATACTCACTGAAGATCATCTTGTAAAGATAGAAAGGGTGAAGGCTGCCCTTAGAAAGGGGCTTGAAGTCAAAGATCTTAGGAAGTGAAAATATTTTCTCGGGATAAAAGTTGCTAGGTCACAAAGAGGAATCTATGTTTCTCAGAGAAAATATATGCTTGCTCTTTTGAAGGAGATGGGTATGTTGGGTTGCAGACTTGTTGAAACTGTTATTGAGATCAAGAAACCGAAGAAGCCTAAGAAAAAGAAGGAAAAAGAGGAGGAAGAAAACCTATATAAGGAAGGGGAAGAAGAAGAGGAGGAAACCCAAGAAAAGGGAGAAGTAGTTGATTAGGAGAGTTCAAAAACTTGTTGGAAAACTTATATATCTTTCCCATACAAGGCCAGATATAGCATTTGCTGTTAATGTAGTCAATCAATATATGAGCTGCCTAGTGAAGAGTCATATGGTGGTAGTTTACAGGATTCTAAGATATCTTAAGGATACTTCTAGTAGAGGGCTATTCTTTAGAAAACGTAAGCAAAGATCCATTGAAGTTTACACTGATGGAAGTTGGGGTGGAACCTCTAAAGGCTCAAGGTCAATCTCAGGTTATTGTTAATTTGTGTGGAGAAATTTAGTTCCATGGAGAAGCTAGAAGCAAAGAGTTGTTTCAAAAAGTAGTGCTGAATTTGAACTGAGAGCTTTGGCTCAAGGAGTAACAAAGGAATTGTGGCTAAGACAAATCTTGAATGAAATTCAAGTTGGAGCAAGCTAACCATTGAAACTTCACTGTAATATAAGGCTGCCATAAGTATGGCCTTATCTAGTGTAACATGACAGGTCTAAACATGTAGAGATAAACCGATACTTCATTAAAGAAAAGTGGAAGAAGGAATTCTATGTTTAACGCATTTGCCTACAAAGTTGCAAGGAGTTGATGTTGTAACTAAAGGGTTTCTTGGACCCCACATTTGAGAATTACAAAAGCAAGTTGGACATGATTAGCATCTATAATCTAATTTGTGGGGAGTGTGGAAACATCTAATATTTATTGTAAACATTGTCTCTATTGTATAGACTTTATTAGTGTTTATTAGGCATTATTAGTAATTATTAGTATTTATTCCCCTTGTTGTATATATAGTCAAGGTGTATCTCAGTATTGCATCAATAAGAAATATGATTTTCTCCCAAATTCCACACTCTTCTTTTCATGGCTGCAGTTTGGAAAGCTCCTGCCAAAACTTTTTTCCCTTCTCATTTTTAATTATTATTTTTGTAACTTTAATTTCCTTCAATGTCGTGAATTAAGCTTTTTATCGGTATTTGTAATCTTTTTTCCCTCAGCATTATTGTCTCTTTTGGAATTTATAGGCCATTTTCACTAACCCAGTATTATTATCCGTTTGGCAGCTATTTGAGAGCTCTGCTCTGATGAATATATCTGCGGTGAAGTCACTTCTCTCTGCACTATGCCAGCTTTCACATCAGTGCATGTCCAGCACTTCAAGTGGCTTGGCACCAGCCAGTCAAAAAATTGGAAGCATCAGTTTTTCAATGGAGAGAATGATATCCATCCTTGTGAATAATGTTCACAGTATGTACCTTCAATAACCATAACATGCTGGTCGTTCTATATTTGTAAGATGCTGTTTAATTGCTCAACCTCTCACTTTTTTCCCAGAAATACTTTTGTTTTCATGCCGCATTTGTTTTGTTAAAGTTAAGAGTGAATATATTATTGTCACATGATTTTCTTTTCACCGCAGGAGTGGAGCCATTTTGGGATCAAGTTGTGGGTCACTTTCTTGAGGTTTTCTTTTCCTTATTTTTTCCTCTTTGATATGTGCAACGCTAGTTTCATTTGATTCTTGCTAATATGATATATCTTTGCAGCTTGCTGATCATTCAAACCCACACTTGAGGAACATGGCACTTGATGCACTGGATAGATCTATATCTGCAGTCTTGGATTCAGATCAATTTCTCGATTACAAACAATTCAAGTTACCTAAAATATCTCAAGAAGTGAGAACTTCTACCCTCTTTCATGGCTGGGAAATCAATTTCACAAGAAAATAAGATTTGATGTGTGTATGAATATGCAGATTGAAGCGAACACCTCAGAGTTGAGGTCACTTGAATGTTCCGTCATATCTGCACTAAAGGTTCTTTATTTTTCTTGTCAAAGTGTTGATGTTCGTGTTGGATCTTTGAAAATTCTTCTTCATGTTATAGAGGTAATGTTGCTGCATTTTGTTCTAGTTTTGTTGTCATCTTTTGTTTCATTATTTCTATCTTCTTTTCACAATAGTGCTTTACAAATTCTTTCAGAGACATGGGGAAAAACTTCATTTCAGTTGGCCTAATATACTTGAATTGTTGAGGTTGGATTTGTTACTATTCCTCTATTTCATCAATGCGTATTTCTAACTTTTTCGTTGACCTCTGTTTTCATCCCTTGCCCCAAGGTCTGTAGCTGATGTTCCGGAGAAGGATCTTGTCACTCTTGGTTTCCAGGTTGGTGATGATGTCTCTGATTTATCTCTAGTTATGAAGTTCTCATTAACATGTTCTTCTGTACATATCAAGCAGCGTACTTGTCCAATCATCTCCTATTTTTTGGTTGTCTTTCCTTTCCCTTATCATCATATTTTTTGCCTTTTGGTGTCCTACATGTGGTCTAGGGGGAAAAATAGAACACTCAATGATACTCTAGAATTATAAGTCAATGATAATATTTATTAATACCAGTAAAAGAAAGGTAAAAACTATATCTAACTAGTTGCCTTTTCATAGGTAAATTTATGTGCTAACATAGCTGAAGGTATCCTTAGCTGTCTTGTGAAAATCAAAACTTGACTGAACACAAATGATAACGAACAGTGGGTATACAAATGAACAAGGAACATGCTGAAATGCTACTCAATAATCAGATTTATTAACGTCTTTAACAAAAGGCAGCAACTGTAGCTGACTAGTGAATGGTTGCCTATTTCTAGATAAACTATAGACTGTAATGCTGAAGTAAGCTTTAGCACAAAATGTTCTATTAAAATCCCTAATTAAAAATATTTACTTGAAAAATTATTAAAGAGGCGTTTACTTCAATATGGCACGTACTATGCTTGAGTTTATGCGCATGCTTGATTGGCACTAGTTTGAAGCGTTGAATACCGAAAGAGAAAAAAAAATTGCTAATCCCTTTTATATTACAGTTTCAGGTTAATTTTGTAGAAATTTATGCAATTGCTGCCTTGTCGGTTTATTTTGTTATTTATTCATCCAATTCTGTAGTTTCAGACTCTGACCTTATTGCCCATATTTTAAGTCTCTTGGTGCATGTTGAATTTCATTTTTGTTATCAATTTATTAGTGTGATTCTAAATTTTGTTAGTTTTCAAACGCAGTGAGTTGTATGAAGTTGTCATCTATGCTAATTTTCATCCCTACCATTTATTATTTCCTTGATAGAACCTTCAAGTGATAATGAACGATGGACTATCCACAATACCTGCAGACTGCCTTCATGTGTAAGATCCCAGTTTTTCATATTTGTTTACTCTCCATTGCATTTACAATAATAAATTTTCATTCCAAAGCCCTTTTGGCATTCAATTCCTTTGAGGATGTCGTAGAGATGTTTTTGAAGCATTAATGATAGAATTGGCACGAAAGAATGAAAAGGAATGCAATGAAAAGAAAATAAAAGGTGAATAGAATGGAATGAAAACGACACTTCTGCCTCTACTTAAGTTATAAAAAGGAACAGTGGAGAAATAATAAGGGCATAACAGACATTGCATCATAATTTGTTTTCTCTCTTCCTCTTCTGATTCTTCTTTCTCCCAGATATTGAAATTCCCTAAATGCTGACCAAACTCATTAATAATGTAAATGGTAACTCCTATGCCCCATTTGGTATATTAGGAGGGTTTTTAAAGGAAGTGGATTTTAAAAACATGTTTGGTATGCACACGGAGAAGTTAGGGTAATTTTTAAATGATGTGTATTTACAATATCAAATGACCATAATATCCTCACAGATCACCAGAAACAACACTGCTGTCCTCACCCCAACCCCAACAAAAAAAAGAAAAAAAACCCCACCTCCGCCCAACTAGTAACAACTACCTTTGCCAATCATGAACCTAGAAACTGTTATCACATATCAGAAATTGTTAGTGGCATATTAAAAATCATTATGGTTGGTATGCTATAATATTCACCTTGACATTACCAAAACAAACCACTCATGACACTCTATCATAGTAATTACGAGTTAACTAATCATCATTACTTTACCATGATAAAAAGGATTTAGGTGAGGATTAAAAATTAAATCATTAAAAAGCCAGGATCCCAATAAATCCTTTTAAAAGTTTGTTTGGACTCAAATCATAATTGAAAAATCATAGTTAAAGTAATAGAAGCATGGCAATTGAATTGCACAAGACAAAACATTAAAAAGAGGGGCAAAATTGACATTTTCCCATTTCAGGATCATCTATTGTAGCTAAACCTCTTGTGCCATGGCCATGATTCTGTGCCATGCACCATGACACATGACGTAGTTTATGACAGCATGTTTTGCTGACATGACAACATTTGGATGCAAACTCCTGGTATGTGCTGATTCTTCGTTCGACGTTCGATTAGGATGATTCGAACATCCACACAAAGCTTAATCAATTATCCAGCTAGTGGCACCAGTCTCATTTCAATATGTTTACCCATTTAAAAGTTGGATACCCAGATGTCAAATGATCTGCATTTGCACATCCAAGTGCCATTAGCCTTAACAAAGGCTTGAACCACATCTAATGGACTAACATTCACCTAATAGAACACATTCCAGACACAATTTAGCCATATAAGACTCCATTTCAAGCATACAAGGGCAACAATTAACCATTTGAATTCACGTTACCACAAATAGCTACTTAACCTCACAAACAAGCCTAATATCATCTTTCTCACATACTTGCACTTGTATTTTGACCCCATATAGATGATACAACACAAAGCATACATCCTAGGCCAATATACAACACACATAATCATGCAAGTGCAAGAAAATATACATGTGGTCGTAGTTGGCTATAATAGTATATATATTCATATATACATTAATCAAAATGTCAAAAGGGCATTACAAAAGTAGCAGTGCCCAACTACTCTTTGCCTTGAGCTCCTTTCCTCTTGCCCCTGCTAACACCTTCATCTATAAAATAGTAATCATAGGATGAGATAGAATCCCAATAACCAAATAATCTAACCTATCAACTAGCAAACTTGACATTATATAAGCATGCAAAGTGGGACAATAAAAAAATGTGATCATGATACAATCAAACATGTTATAGTACATAATGAACCATACATGATCCATAATCCATCCTAACCCTCACGGTACCTCTAACTAAATTTGTAGGCTAACAATATAAACAGGGTCAAGTCTATGTGACTAGATCGGCCCAAGCCCACCAATTTGGGAGGCAGCCTGGCCAAAGGCACCTTCACCCACTTTTAGACTACAGATTCCTCCTTTACGAATATTCAGAGTGTTGTCTGCTTCGGCCTATACCCTTACAAGTTATAATGGAGCTGCCAAGAATAACTGATCATCAGGGCCACTTGTGGTGTCAGTGATTACCATATAAGTTTAAACTAACTTCTCTTAGGGTTAATTCCCACCCTCTCAATGACTAGATGTAATTACATCAATGCATCACATGCTAACATTCAACCATGCATTATCCATTATCATAGCATAATCATGATCAACTATCATAATTATTTCCTTAAATCATTTCGCAAGCATATATCTAGTTCTTCATGAAAATTCGATTCGCACTTCACATAATTTATAAAACAAACGTATAATCTCTCTCTCTATATATACATATACATATATATATATATATATATCTATCAAAGTAACATAGTTTATTTTCACAACTCATATACCATACAAGCAAGTAAAGGGGCTGGATTATCCAGTTACCCCAATCATTTTTGTTACCAAAAAAGATTACTCATGGAATTCAAAGCTCCTCTAGCTCAAAGAGGTTTCAGGCTATGATAATCTACATATTAGAACACTAATTGTTCAATTTCCCACACTAACCTTCACACTTTTAGCTCTAATTAAATAACTCAAGTTCACAACTCTCATATTTGATCTAATCAAAATCCTAACTGTCTATGAGCTAAATAACATCATTCTATAGTTCTAGGTACTTCAAAATTCCCATTTTAAAGCTAGGGTTTGTCTAACCCTAAAGACCTAACCATACAACTCTATAAAATTCTCAATGTTAGGTGTAGAAACTTAAATAAGCTCTTAATAACTCCATTTAATTCATTGGGTTTGGACCCAAACCTTTAAGTCTAGAAATCAACATCTCCCCGCACTAAAAACTTATAAAGAAAACGAGTAGGGAGGCACAGGGAAGGAGTAAGAAGCTTATCTGGATAATTGGAGGTCTAAACTAGCTCCAAAATGCTTTGAGGTTGAAGGCCTAGCAAACCCTTCTTCCTTCTCCCTTGCTTTGGTTGAAACTCCTTTTCTTTCCTTCTATTTTCGTGTCTAACTCATGTCCGTTTAAACCAAGTTTTAGTTTGTTCGCTGCAACACATTGAGCTTCCACTATGGGCAGATAGCACAGATTTAAGGCCCATTGGATTTGAATCTCATCCAAACCCAAATCCAAATCTAAGTTCTACCTTAATCATTTTAAAATTTGAAATCTTTTCTAAACTCTTACTAATTCAAATCCTTCATCAATCTCTTTGTATTTTGACTAGCCCATTGGCGATATCGAACAAGATCAGATTGTTGGCTATGACCAGGACTAGACTGCCTTTATCGCTAGCCAGGATAGGACAGTTGACACCAACCAAGATCAGACGGCCGACTTCCATCAGGGCTAAACTGATGGCGCCAACCAAGATCGAATTGTCAGCATGGACTAGGACAGGGCTGCCATCATCGATTGGGACTAGACCGCAAGCTATGGCCGACTTCTAATTGGACTAGATCGTTGCTTGCACTTTAGTCCAGTCGACTTCTGCAATCCTGTCCTGGTTGTTGCTTGTGGTTAGGCCTCAGTCGGTGCTGATAGTCCGGTCTTGGTGGAAGTTGGCCGTCTGGTCTCAGTCATCGCTAGTAGTATGGTCCTAATGAAAGTTTGTCATTCAATCTTGATAAGGGCCAATGGTTTAGTCCTGGTGGAAGTCAACTGTCCAAACTGTCGGCTTTGATTGGGACCGAACCACCGGCGTTGTCCAAGGATCTTCAAAATTCAAATATGGAATTTAAAATTTGGAATTTCACTTAAAATCCAAACAAAAGATTTTAATATTATAATATGGAATTTTTCATATCATCCAAACAAATAATTTAGAATCTATAAATTTCAAATATGAGATTCAGAGTCTAAATTTCCAACCCAAATTCACCATCCAAACACAACCTTAATTAATTCTCTAATTTTCTAATTTACCCTTAGTTAGTTTATAATTTCTCTATTAAAATTTTGGAATGTTACAACTGCCAATTGGCATAGGGTTCAAACTCTAAACAAAAGTTATTGCAATCAGATCAGAAACACCATGGCAGCCTTATGGTTTGAAAGCGATGGTGTTGCAACAAGAACACAAGGCAAAAAACTCAAATTGAAGGGCAGGAAGATGATTACGGAGAAGCAATCAACAATGAATCCCAAAAATCGTAGAAATCAAGCCAGTAATTGAATATTGAACCCATAAATCAATGATAGAAATCTATTGTAGAATCTTAGAAAATGTTTTTCATTTTAGAACTCGAGAAATCCATTGTTGTTAGAATCAAATCAAATGGTCATTTTTTCATCAATTTCAACCTTCCCTTATGGAACCTAGTTCCATCATTTTTTTTTTTATAAGTAACTTCCATAAAGAAGCCTATTCTGATAGAGTTCTGAGATAATGGGTGATTTGGAAAAATAGATATTAGAAATAAATAATATTTTTGATTTATTTTAGATATTTTCTACTTAATAATATTTTTAGATTTTATGTAGGTATTTAGTTATCTAGATTTTATATAGATATTTAGATATTTGTTTAGATATCTATATATTTATCTAGATATCTAGTTATTTGGATTTTATTCACATATTTAGTTCTTTAGATTTTATTTAATATTTTATATAGATATAGATTCTAGGAGATTTTATTTAGGTTTATTCAATTATCTAATTATCTAGATTTTATTCATTATTTTAGATTGTATTTAGCATCATAAATATGCTTAGCAACTTAGAAGCAAGCATATGATGAATAAAACAAACTTTTGATACTTGGCTCCTAGGTGTGGCTATTGAGAGAAGTATAGAGTGAGATTCTTGTTCTATATCATCTTGATATATTTGTTCCTTCTAATTTCTTTTATCAATTCTATATTCTCTTATTAATGTTATGAAGTTAGATTTTGATTTCATGTGTCAATAGAGATTTTTCTTCCTTATTTCTCTCTACATATCTTGGATCCTATCATATTCGATGGTACCAAACTCACAAAATTTAGACTTCCGTTTTCTCTCTACATATCTTGAATAGTATTTATGGGATAAAAAATAGGACTAAATGCCCTACTCCCCCCCCCAGACAGTTACTAACTGCTAATGACATATTTTATTTTTTTCAACATCACGCTCCTTCTGGATTTGTTCCTAGGTGTTCTCCTTGTGTTGTCTCATGTCTGTAGTTGCATATATTGCAGGTGTGTAGATGTGACTGGCACATATAGTGCTCAAAAGACAGAGTTAAACATAAGCCTGACTGCAATTGGCCTCCTATGGACTATGACTGATTTCATTGCCAAGGGCCTTCTTAATAAATCTTTGGAAGAAAAGGAAACAGGTTCAAGTTTAATTGTCAATCTCAATTTGCATACATTCGTTAGTTTGAACCTGCTCTATATTTTCACTATGATGCTATCTTCAGGAATTTCAGGTGTTGGTTCCATAGTGAAGCTGATAGACAGTGAAAAGATGGAGAAACAGACACTTGGTGTTTCCAAGGATATCAAAGACTCTGGTGTTTCCAAGGATATCAAAGACCATGCTACCTATTTGTATGATGTTGATTGTGAGAAGCTTTTGTTCTCAGTTTTCTCATTACTTCAAAACCTTGGTGCTGATGAGAGACCAGAGGTATGATGAATTTTGTCATTTTTTTTACTTTCCAAAACTCCCCTTCCCCTTCCTCCTCATTTTGTTGCATTGGGTGTGCCTGCGATATGATTTGGAAGTGTTTGAGAACAAGAAGTGTATAGATAGCTTCATGAATCATAAGATTTTATCTTTTCCAGCCTGATATGGGCAATGAAATTGACTATTGTTTTAAAGACTCTTGTTTCGTTGTTTTCCATCTTATGTCTACTGTTGAGAGCATAATTATCTGAGCAACCAAAAAAAAAAAATTTTTGCTGAAAATTGAGTGTTGTGATATGGGAAAGTTCGTGCCCATTTTTGTTAGCTGGATCCATTAATCATGAAAAGCAGCATGATCAGCATTTTATGGTTTTTTCTTCCTTGTGCACTTTATTGTGAAGTGCTCAGCAAATGTGAAGACTGGTACTGTAAAAGGATATGAATACTTCGACAAGAAATTGCAACTGTTTCTGGACCAAGTATCATTTGCATCACACGTGTTACTGTTGAGGCATTGACATTCTCAAATCTTTCCCTTGGATTGTTTTAGTTAAATTGTAGTGTGTGTATCATAGCCTCCTCATCTCCCTCCCTCGTCTTTCGATTGAAATACTCCTTCATGTTGCTTTGTTTGATTTTATGAAATTGTTTAATAATTAGCTTACTGTGGCTGTAAATATTCTCCTGTTGCTTAAAGTTCTGTATTTCAGGTCAGAAACTCTGCTGTGAGAACACTTTTTCAAACTTTAGGAACTCATGGACAAAAGCTTACAAAAGGAATGTGGGAAAACTGTCTTTGGAATTATATATTCCCAACGTTGGAGCGTGCTTCTCACATGGTAAGCTGAAACCATTATCAATTGAGAATTGACAGTTTACTTCAATCATGAAGGTACATCAAAAATTTTGCTCACATATAGGCTGCCACTTCTTCAAAAGATGAACGGCAAGGGAAAGAACTTGGGACTCGAGGGGGAAAGGCAATTCATATGCTCATACATCATAGGTATATAAAGTTGATCAATTTTGTTTCCCTCTAGTTTATTTATGCCCTTCTTATTATGTTCTTTTAAGAAAATAGGAAGACTGTAGCATAAGGAGAGGCACAAGTGAAAAGATAAATGTTTAAAAATAATACTGTCCTGAGTATTGACTATATGCCTTTAGAGACACAATCTGAATTGAAACAACTGGCCTGTAATCAGGACTTTGAGAGAAGAAGGGAACTTGCCTGTGGAGGCTTTGGTTGGTATTAGCAAGGAAAAAACTGTAATCTACTGCTAGCCTGCTAGAATAAACGACGTTTTGTACTGCAGAGATTAGATACGATTAGATGACTTTCGACTCAGCAAAATGGCAGGTTTGACTTACAAACAATATGTATAAAACAGTGCTGCGTGTCCTCCTCTGGAATCACGGGATTTTTTTTAGAACTATTGTTCGTGGATGGTAAAATGGCACTAATGCCATGTTTAGAAAGCAGTGAGATTGAAAATACAGGAAAAGAAAGGAAGAAGACAATTGTTATGAAGGCCTCCAGAATTATTTTCTTTTACTCAAAATCTGTCTTATAAAATTAGACCAAGCCACATACTTATATTGCGCCCCTAATCATGCCCAAGTCTGGTACTCTGAAAAGAATCTTCCTAGAAGGCTGGAACACACCCACTCATACAACTAACACCACAGTGCCACTACTGTGACATAACATTCTCCTAATTGCAATACCACCCTTACCCTGCATGCATAACCCACTTAAACATAGACTTTTACGACATTGACATAGACATAATACCTAACAGAAACATCGGACACCCCCCACATAAAATGACAATGGATCCTAAAAAACCTCTTATCAACAAATTTATTCACTGAAGAGACACTGAAACTGTGTGCATAACATTGACCTCTACACTTGTCAGTTGTCATGCTCATGAGATAACTATATAGTGAAGTAGACTATACTTTTAATGCGCAACGATTTAGTACTTTATTAATCTCATGGCCCTTTCCTGATTTCCTTAAACATGTATGTTGAGATGAATTTGCAGTCGTAATACAGCTCAGAAACAGTGGGATGAGACACTTGTGCTAGTTCTTGGTGGAATAGCTCGTATATTACGGTTATTCTTTCCATTTTTGAAGAGCCTCGATAAATTCTGGTCTGGTAGGTTCATCATTAAATTTTTAATAATAGTTTGTCTAGTTTAATTTACAAACAATTCTGTTTCAATGTAATTTTATGCAGGATGGGAGTTGTTGCTCCAGTTTGTTGAGAATAGCTTCTTAAATGGCAGTAAAGAGGTAGCACTTGCAGCCATTAACTGCTTGCAGACAACTGTTATTTCACACTCATCAAAGGTAATGATTATTGTCTGAAAATTAGTTGGTCTTTTGCCTGTAACTGAAGAGATAGGGCCTCTTCTTGCTCTATATTGGATTTTATTTTTACATCTATGAGGAAGCAGAACTAGCTGAGGACACTCATCTAAGTATCAAGTGTACTAACGCAATTCCATGAATCAGGGGAATATGCCGATGCCTTACCTTATATCTGTAATTGATATTTATGAAGTTATTCTGGAAAAGCCTCACAGTTACAGCTCCGATGCTGCCACCAAGGTGAAGCAGGAGGTTTTGCATGATCTTGGTAATGCATTGACTTTCATTTTTTCTTTATCAGAGAGATAGGGATGATTTAATGTTGTTAGTATCAAGTGTTATCATGTTTACTTATTCCAAAGGAATCTAATTCTAGATCTGATGTGATCAAGGGAGCTGATCAAATCAGCTCATTGATCCCTCATTTCAAGGGTTCCCCAAATTTCTTGCAATGGCTCCCAGGATTTTCTTTATAAATTCATTCTTTTGGCATTTTACTATTTTTTTTTTCCTTTTCTTCTCTCTACTGGAGCACGCCTGCTTCCAGGTCTCTATTTATTTTGGTTCTTCTCTTCTTCTATTGTGTAATTCAGGACATCATCAAATAAAATGTTCCATGAATTATTTCATTTTGTTTATCTGCATCATTGCTAAGGCTGCTTTTCAGATGCAAATATTCACACCGGAGTGACAATATTCTGATATTTTACTTGTCTATCAGGAGAGCTATATGTGCAAGCTCAAGGGATGTTCAATGATGACATGTACACACGATTGATTGCCATCATAGACATAGCTGTGAAGCAAACCATGTTAATTAATGATAACTTTGAAGTAGAATTTGTAAGTCTGATGTTGTACTCAACTTCTTTAATGTTTGAGTTATTCTGTGTCCTTTGGTTGAGACAATCATTCATAATGTTTGGCTGATGCTGTACTTGATTTTTTTCCCCGTATTCTATCAACACTTGGAAAAAGTATCACATCTAAATTTCAAGGTTGGCCATAAAATTTCTTAATTCCATGATTCTTGCACCATATGAGAGAATGTGTTCAGAACTGTTTACAAGTTACAAAGTAATTCTGAGTGGAAATGAGTTGAAACATTTGGGAGCATATGCAGTACAAATTGGAATGCCACTTTATTCATCTTGTATAACAAGTGATCCTGAGAAGTATGATGGGGTTGTTTAAAATGCTGTTTTCCTTGCTGTACACATGTTGGCTTGGTACTGTCTTAAGTACCAGAGTCTTGGTAGTAAATAGTCATGTCTTCCTCTTGTTCTTGAATTCCAACAATTATACATTGAACCTGTTAGGGTGGTAGTAGTAATACAGTTATCATTTCAAACTTTTAAGTTGGGATATTTTCATTGAGTCAGTTTTTTTTTTTTTTTAATTAGGGAAATGTCCCCCCTGTGCTACGGACTATTCTGGACATTATACCACTGTTACGCCCAACTGAGCACATCTCCTCTATGTGGCTTATTCTTCTTCGGGAGTTCTTGCAGTATCTTCCTGGTGAGGATTCTCGCTTACAGAGTGAAGATGATAAAATGGATCATGCAAGCAGTTCTAACTTTGTCCCAGGTATAGAAGAATATATCATTGCACCATAGCTAGTTTTTCAGTCTACCTTTGGGCAAAAGCTTGTGTGAAATCTATGCTTATTTTCGCAGACTCTAATAAAAAGTACAAAGCACCTAATGGCACTTCTTTAGTATCACCTGACAAAGTAACATCTTCAGGAACTGGATCAAGTGCAGCTGTCAATGCAGGCCTTCCTAGTTATATTTTTGTGGAAAAGCTAGTTCCTGTGCTGGTAGATCTTTTTCTGCAGGCACCAGTAGTTGAAAAGTACATTATATACCCTGAAATTATTCAAAGCCTCGGAAGGTAGTAATTGCAATTCAAGTTTTGAATGATAGTTTTTCATGTATATATGTGTGTGTGCGCGCACAAAGATCAGTTCCTTGTGCAATTTTTTAAAATGTAATGATGTTATACTGGCCTTTAGAGAGAACAAAAATTACAATTAATCCAACTTACTCTGCAAGAACATTTGATAAACCTTTACTTAATATTTATATATGTTTTTTAAAAAAATCAATAAGAAATGTTTTGCAATAACACTATAATGTCAAAATTCAGATGTATGACAACCAGAAGAGACAACCCTGACAGTGCACTTTGGAGGTTAGCTGTTGAAGCATTCAACCGAATCCTTATTGACTATGTTAGCAAATTAATCTACAGCGGTCCAGATTCTGGCTTTAGCAAACCTGCTAGAAGTCGTATATGGAAAGAAATTGCAGATATTTATGAAATATTCCTCGTTGGATACTGTGGGCGAGCTCTTCCTTCAAATTCTCTCTCAGCATTGGTATTGGAGGCTGACGAGTCCCTTGAGATGTCAATGTTAAAGGTTCTTGGTGACACTGTCCTTAAGTTGCCAATTGATGCCCCAACAGATGTGAGTTTCTCACCAATCACTTCATCTATATTTGGTCTTGATGACACTATCCTTAAGTTGCCAATTGATGCCCCTTGTGTATTTTTGGTGGCCATATAAAAAGGAATTAGGCTTTGATAACTCTGGGCATATAGAGGGATTGCCCACTTCATTTTCTCTCAGGTTGCTCCATCTTTTTAGGCCTGGGTTTTATTAGTCTGCTTAAAGAAACTAAGTTCCTGGTTTTGCATACTTTATAGGATGTTTTCTGTTCCATAATTTTATGTGTTGTGTGTTACTCCAACATCAAATACTTCTATATTTAACGTTCTTGTGTTTGGAATGACAATAGCTATTTATCCTAGATATAAATGGCATAATTAAGGATGTAGGGATCTTGAACTCCTAAGTATCTTAATTCCCATGATTCTAGTGTGACTTAGACATCTTGATACTGGAGGTGGAGGGTCTTACATGCTGGTGTGAAGATATCAGTACACTAACTACTGAAAATTTGAAGCCATTGCCACAGGATGATCCTTTATATGTGGACAGAAGAGAAATATTTTGATGTGATGCTAGAAGCTATAAACAACTTGCCTCTATATAGGGGCAAAGCTAGGTGCTTCATCATGGGGGACCAGAATTGAGAAAGATCTAGACTGGCTTCAGCTTTCAACTTACTAGCCTAAATTTAAATATCATTTTAATTCCTGAATATGTGATTCCATTTTGATTGAATTTTAATTTATCGAACACTTATATATATATATATATATATTTAGTACATATAAAATCTAGGAAAAGTATAATTTTGGGTCTCTACATTTTGCTCTCATTTTGTTATAGGTTCCTACACTTTTTTTTTTCGGTGTAAGAACCTTGAATATCAAAAAACATGTACGAGTAAAGTGTAAAAATTCAAAGTTATGTTTTTCCTTAAATCTAACTATGGTTCTCACCAAAAAAAATTCGAATTGTGATTAAAGTAAACTAATGTATTAGTTTAATATCAAAATAAAAGTTTGTTTAGTGAAATGATAAGGCTTAGATATTAATTATGAGAAATTTAACCTGTCTATGCACTGAAATTCTCTAAATGAAGTGATGGTTGAGCTGGAATATGCCTAAAACAATTAAAGAGTAATCTCTTGAATGCCCAATTGTGAAACTTCTTAGATATTTCAATATGATATTTGGTAGAGAAAATTTCTTACGACAAAGTTAGAGACAATCCTGAAAGATTAATAGATTAAAATGTTTCATAAAGGAATGGAAATAGAAGAACCTATTCATAAAAGGATGTAAGAATGCTTGCCATAGACCTTTGTATGGTTTCTTTGATTTTTTCCCCCCAAAGAGCTGTAGTAATTGAACTCTCAACAATGACTTGCTAAAACAAAATGAAGGGGAAAAAATCTCAGATTATTTAGACTCCAATAAGAAAATTTAAAGTTGTAATCTTAGGATTGTGCACTGACTAATCCAATACCAAATTCTTGGCTTATTGAATGGAGAAAGAAAGGTGGGTTTTGTTATTGTGCGATTGGTGGTACAAAAGAAACCCTTAGTCTTGCGAAGCTAAATTTATAACTTCTCTCTTACTTATGTGCTGCCTCCCCACCCCACCCCCCCAAAAAAAAAAAAGATCTATATCTCAAATGAAGTGTCAATGGCTAAATTTTTTTGGAGACACTAACTTGAAGGACTTGTATTATTGGGGTTTAACTCCAAACTTAATGATGCCCTAACTCATGTAGTTAGTTTTGCTACTGTTAGTCTCTTGCCACCAAAAGATGTTTTTTTGTTTTTCATCCTTGAAGTCACTGAATGTGCTTATTTTGTCTGAGTTTTTCTTGCATTATGATGTAATCCAGTAATGGTCCCTTCAGCTTGAGTTTTCAAGGCTACATGCATTGCTTGTTCTTTCTTTCTCGCTAATGCCGTGCATGTTTTCAGATTCTGTGGCGACTGGTCAACACACTAGACCGTTGTGCATCACGCACATGCTCATTACCTGTTGAGACTGTAGAGCTTATGCCTTCACACTGCAGTAGATTTTCGTTGACTTGTTTGCAGAAGTTATTTGTTTTGAGCAGGTGCCACACCAGAGTGTTTATACAATTCTTTCTAAATTTATCTTTCAATTGTTTGATGTGCTATAAGTACCATTTGCTTGATGGTGATTGGTGATCAACTCTTATCAAGGCCTGTTGAAGCATTCTCTCTTATTTTTTACATTGTTTCCTTGTTCTCCTTATAGTGCTTATCAATGAGTGTCTTCTTTGATAAGCTTTTTCCCTCTAGTATTCATTTACATAGCTGTTATTTTGATTATTTTCCAATGTTGTATCCTGTTTCTAGTTTTTCTAATGAAGCCGATTGGAGTTTGACAAGATCTGAAGTGAGCAAAATATCACTTACTATGCTCATGACTAGATGCGAATACATCTTTACCAGGTTTCAGATGGATGAGAATGAGTTAGGTGAGCCTCTCTTTTTTGATGAACACTATGTACTATAGTAATGGATGTGGATGATCGTAGCTTCAGATCTCCTACAATTTTCCCATGTTTAATGTGTGATTTTCCTGCAGGTGAGCATCCATTACCAAAAGCAAGACTTGAAGAAATTATGTATGTTCTCCAAGAACTGGCACATCTCGTAATACATCCTGACACTGCTTTCGCGCTTCCCTTGCACCCATATCTGAGAGGTGGATTAGCAGAGGAGAAGGAGAAGCCTCATGGGCGTCCCCACCTGCTTGTGCTACTTCCTTCCTTTAGTGAGCTTGTTTTATCGAGGTAAAGTAAATATACTTGTTGGAATATACCAAAGCTTAATCTTTGACACGAGCGCACAAATATGAATGAGTAGTTGATGTGTAAACTAGTCGTCTTGTGGATAGATGAAATATGAAGAATCAGAAAAGAGAGTACAAGGAGGTAGAATGAGATGATTTTCCAAGAATAGCAAAAATCCAAAAAAAAAAAATTATGTACAGTAAATTGTAAATTCGGACATCTGTTAAAGGAAAGGAATACAGTTTACTCAAAAGATAAACAAGTAAAAAGTAAAGCAAGAAAAAGAAAGAGCTGCTTGTTTGATTGATGATGAAGAAATCTCTTGGAGGAATGTTGGAAGCTTTAACTGATAAGGAGGCTAAGAACGAAAGTCTGTCCTGCAGTTGATGCATTTACTGAAACCCGTGTCTAAACACTAGCTCTATGGGCCAGCCACAGACACCAAGGATAAGGAAAGAGATGTACGGTTCCATAATTTTTTATCCTTCTCTTTCAGAAAATCTCGAGAGGTAGGAGAGGAAACCAATCAAAAACTGTGAAGTGTATGTAACATGGGTTTTCAAGCCATTTCACGTGCAATAATAAGCGGGAGCTAGATTATGAGCTCCAATAACATATCATGCAATTGTTAATAGATAAAGCGTTAAAAGTGGATCACTTGCTTATGACATATCACCTTGGAGGAGGCCTTCACCTACTAAAAGTAGTGAAGATAAAACTAGCGACCATTTTTCTTTCTTTCTGTCCCCCACCCCTCTCATTTTGTTCTTAAGTTCTGTTCTTTTGATGGACAGAGAACTAAGAATACGGGAACTAGTGGTAGCATTACTTCGATTAGTCAGCAAGGAGTTGTCTCTGGAAAAGCTCAGCTTAACAAATGAAAAGAATACTTCCAGATAAGAGCTTTTGTCATTTGATCAAAGTTTTTAGCTTATAAGCCCTTTTTTCTTCTTATTCCCCCTCTTCTTCATTAGTATTATGTTGTATATTTTTATGTAGACTAGACTAGGCCCACCCTGATAGGAGGTTTTGCCCTGTATCCTTGCACTGTTCATCGGTCCTGCATTATGGCCTAGTGTCTGGTGTCAACCATGCTTTCTCATATCCACCGGCCCCTTGAACTTAATCACCACATCTTTCGGGTCAGACTTGGAGACCCGTGAGCTTGGGACGATTAGTTGAGCGGCTGAGATAAATATGTGTAGTGTATACAGCAAAAAGAACCACTTACGGGGACAGTTGACAAGGAGACTTCATAACAGAATGTCATTGTGACTTGTGAGAAGATCTACATTCCCCTTGCCATTTTTTTGTGTTCTATCGTATTCTGTGAGTATACATCGAACCCTAATCTTTTCTTGCCACATAAAATGGTAAAATATTTTCTTGGGCAAGAAAGATATATGTATCATGTTGTGCTGCTTTTATATTTGCATTGAGGCATACGTTCTTTTAGAAGAGCATTCTTGAATTTGAACACTTGTTTCCTTCAGCAGAGCCATTTCCATGCCGAGGGTATCTTCTATTCACTTCTATTTGTCCTCAGTTGTATAAATAATATTGACAGTTATTTCATGCCTTGTTCTATCCAACATCTGGATGTGAAGTTTTGGAGCATTTTGGTTTTCATGAGTCCCAGCTCCTAGTCGATCTGCTTTTCGGCTCTAGTAGTTATGGCGTGTCTTCTGATGATAGCCATCTGGATATAGCGTGTCTTTTACATACAAACACTCAGAAGCTATAAAGCACGAAGGAAAATTTATACCCCATATCAACGGAGTAGAGGTTAAAGTATTGGACAAGGATGAGGATGGCGCTTGTTTGTCCATGTTAAATTTGGCGCACCACACCTGGCTGGATTAAAAGCAAGCTGAGGATTCTGTTAAATGTGTTATAACTGTTTTATGTAATGCCACGGAAGATCCTGCTTCTGACTTGGTCTTCTTTGTAGTAGTTTGACATGTGGTTTTAAAGTGTTTATTCATTGGCATAATTATGTGTTTACTTTTTCACTTTCAGACAACGAGGGAAAAAAGCTTAGTGCATATGAATTATTTAAAAGAAAAAAGATCACTTTTTGCAGACGATTGAAGCACGACTGAATTTATTTGTTATGTTACCTTCATCCAATCTTTAATATTTCTTGGCATCTGCTGTGTTTATATTTAGATTTTGTGCATGCGCTACAATAAGCATATCCAAGATGCTTATTCCGTATTTCTTTTATCGATTACGTACTTTGCTTTTATGTTTTGATCTCTGCTAAAAAGGAGAGTATACACTCTTATACTTTGTTAACCGCTTAATGTCACCAGGATTTGTCTAATGTCTGTCTTCTCGACTCGTCCCAGTCTAGATCATTGTATTGAATTTGAACTTGTATTTTTTTTTTAATTCAGGTAAAACTAACCTTGTATTTTTATAAAAAAAATAATTTATTTCAAATTCAAATTCCTAACAAATTTAAGTCAAGAATTGTGATCGATACAAGTTAGCGAGCGAGTTTTGGATGTCTGCCTATGTATATTGGACTACTAACTGAAAATGGAAAGCATTCCATGGAGGCGAGGGTTTACTGCTTTTTCTCTCTTACGCATCGATATTTTCACCTGAGATCCGAACCAACGATAGAGAATATTGCAAAGGAAACTGTTCAGGAATTGTGTTGCCAGCCATTTACCAGATTTGTCGTCTTCTCCTCTCTACAACTATTAAAAGGATGGCATGAAGCAACTCAGACTCGAAGATTGCGTTGTAATACAAAATTTTATTGATATGAAAACTTAACCAAATGCGCAGGAGCACCCTTGGGGGCACGATTATGAAAGCACAAACAAAGCGGGGTTGCACGGAGTAAAGTAGCAGAGAGGTGGATAAAGCTATATCTATGTACACGCATTCGAAAAAATAGTGTATTTAATTATTTAGCTTGGTTGATCCTGGCAGCGGCTGCCACTGACGCTGCCACTCCGGCGGGATGAGTTGTGAGGTTCGGATCATTTCTCATCTCTGCTCCGGTCACCCCTTCTGCATCTCTTCTCGTCGCCGTTTTGTCTGATGGCAGCTTCGAAGTCGCATCCTATACCAGAACAACGTAATTGCTTAATCCTTTTAATGAATAAACAGACAAAACTTGAACATGCATTTGAGTTACCGCTAGGACATCGGCGAGTTTGGTCTTTTCCTCATCCCTTGCTACTCGAGCATTGAAAGTGGCAGCGGACTGTGCCGCGGCAGCAACACCGCCGGGGATGATGCTGGTACGGCCGGTGGCTCTGACTTCGGCTGCTTGAATGGCAGCTGCGTCACTCCACTCCACCGGCTTATTTCCGGCGGTTATAGCGGTGGCTTCCAGAGCTTCCCCTATGGTGATTCCAGCATTCCCTACTTCCTGACCAGTTGAAGGTGACGTGCTCTTTTGACTGAATTGCTCCACCACCTGCCCATAATTTGCCACAAGTCGAAATTAATCAAACTGCAATTAACTTCGTTAGTTCGTCGTAGCGATTTTAATATTTACCAAGTTTTATCACCTAGAAATTAATTAAAATTAATTTTGTATCAAGAAAATTAAATTAATAACAATAATTAATTCACTGAAAACAATTTTAAATACCCTGTGATTTGTCCTTGAAAAAATATAAAAAAATGTGACCACATATGAGTCTTATAATAAATTAACCTCCTCAACCAATTTATCAATGGGAAAACCTATATACTTAAATTTAAGTTATTTATATTCAATTAAATCAAGATATGTAAATTTTTATAGATTATTTTTTTATAATAAATTCTTGTTATTGATTAAATTAATGCATTAAGATCTACATATTTTATATACTTAACCTTATATACTTAATATGATTATATCCAATTAAATCAAGATATGTGAATATTTTATAGGTTATTTTTGGCTAAAATATATATTTAGTCATTTAACTTTATACAACGTTTTATTTTAATATTTTAAGTTTATAAAGTATCTTTTTAATTCTTTAACTCTAACACTGTTATAGTTTTAACTATTAACAAAATATTTTTAAATGTTAATATATTAAATTTAATTTTTTTTAAAATAATAATGATTAATACAAAAGAATAATTATTTGAATCTAAAAAATTAAAAGATCAAATTGAAAACTTATATAAAATTAGAAGACTAAAAGCATGCTTTAACCGATTATTTTTTTATAATAAATTATTATTATTTATTTAATTAATATATTAAAATTTACATGTAATTATATAAATATATTAAATATATAAAATTAAGTACATAATTCTTGCCGTCTATCAATTTCCATCTCTTTTCATCAACTTGTTGAACAACCTACGAAATGGATCCGATCAAGCAAGCTAGGCAAAAATATTAAGCACGTGCACCCATTATCATATGAGCAATCATAGCAGCCAAAAGTGCATTATCTCTATTCTCTAATGGAAAAGGGCTTAGATGCAAATTATGCCCTGCTATAATAAGGAAAAACTAATTTGGTCCAGCAATTCTAATTTTGCATTTGGAGTTTAATACCAAGTTTTATATCTTATCTTAGATCACAAAAAAGAAGCAAAATCGAACCATTTAAGAAGAGACCAGAATGGTATTATCCACTTTAGAAGTGTCTTCAAATTAAGAGGACCAAGTTTAATCCAAAGGATATAAGGTATACCGAAAAATAATAGTATAGACATATTAAAAATAGAACCTGTCCGCCAATTAACTGAGATACGACGCGTCTCCCCGAGAATTCAGTCTGGGTAATGCTAATGCCGTGGTCTTCGATGGCACCGGTGACATCGCCAGGTGACACAATCCCGGCCGCTTCATTTATCTTGGCCGCCGATCGCATCGCCTCCGCCACACCGTGCTTCTGAACGCCGCCCATTATGGCATTCTCGGCGGCCTGCATCATGTCTGCGTCCACCGGAGCCACCACCTTGTTGGCCAGCTCCCCTTCCACGACGAACAAGTCGCCATACTTCACGGGTTCTTGCTCTTCCTTGCGAGGTTTCTCTTGGCTCATCTTTCTTTCCTTTTCAGTTGGGTGTGTGGGAGCGAATTGATTTTTAATTATTAATATACGTGCATGGCATATGCTTTGCATGACGGGACACGTGTGAGTCTGTGCATTGTAAAAACGCGATGAGGAGGACGTGAGAAACATGTGGCTGCCAATGAGGTCGTGTTCAATATAAACCAACGGTTTTGTTTTATTTTTGCTATTTACGATAATTGCCTTGACGTCCATGCCCTTCTTGACAAGGTCTATTTTTCTATACTACGGACATGGCGCGCGTGAGAGCAAGTAGAAAGAAAAGCTTATTTTTGTGAGCTTCACATGCTTAACACTTGACACGATCCTGCTCTGATTCGGTGATTCCTCATTATGATTATGGACTTATGGTGAAGCACTTTAGAAGATTAATCAAGTTTCAGTTAGTCTTTTACTTGTATATCTTAACTTTATATTCACATATAGAAATTCATCAATAATTCTCATCATCCTCCAACAAAATTTCTCATCGCATGTTATTTAAACCGTACGAATTAACGCTGATGAGGTATATATTTGTTTACCGGTAGATAGTTAGATAAAAAGATGTAACGATGTGAATGGAACAATATGATTTTCAAAGCACGGTGTTGGGGAAGAACAGAACTTTAAGAATTGATTAATAATTGTGGCGTTGAACTCGGATGGGTTTACGCGTACGTGCGTACGTGCCCTGATGAATTGCCCCCAGTCTAGCATGCAGAGCCAGTTACCCTAGAGTTCTGGAATGTATATAGGGAGAAATTTCAATAAAAATCCTTTAATTATACTTAATTACATTTAAAGTCCTTAAATATTTAAAATTTCACTATAAAAGTACTGATAAAATTGTCCGTCATTTAAATTAATATTAAAATTTTTTTAATTCACTTGTTAATTGCTATATTTCACTTGTTCATTTACTTATTAAATATTGTTAATCACCTTATTTTACTTGTTTATTTTTCCGGAATGAAATCAAGTAAAAATCTGACAATGAACAAGTATAGTGAAGCAATTAATAATAGTTTGTAAGTAAATAAATAACATACAATATAAAATTAATAAGTTGTCTTAAGATGATTTAAACATTTAAAATTAAAATAAGTAAAGTAGGATGATTAACAATATTTCGTAAATAAATGCACAAATGAAATATGACAATTAATAAGTAAAGGAGGAAACTTCTAATATTAATTTAAAAGAAGAATAATTTTATCATTTCTATCAAATTTAATATTAAATTAGCACTCCTAAATTACAATAAAATTTCATAAATTTTGAAATTTTAAACAAAAATAAGTTTGATCAATGATATTTTATTGAAATTCTCCCCCACACACACACAGCACAATGACCTCTCTTGTTTTACAAGTTACGTCGATGCGGTACGCGTGTGAATTAGCCGACAAAAACTCAAACAGAATAGTTGCGTCGCACCATGGGATGACTACGACAGAAGACGTGCAAGTCCTCAATTGTAAAGTTGAGGAAGCAAGACTTGTTAATTGCCTCGAAGATTCCCAAGAGAAATTTAGCACGAGCGAGTTTTTGCCGTCACTTCATTCAAACGAAAAGAAGGAAAGAAGGGTATAATTGGATAATACACGAAGCGAGGTTCATTTGACACGTAGGCTGCCATGGCGATATAATTGGTCCTTTAATTCCGCGTGAAAATGCCAGCGTATCCAAGTGCGCACGTCATCATCGTAATTTCAGTCAAATGCGAAGCCAATTTTTGTGACCGGCCAACGCTTTAATCCGGCGAGTGGAGTGTCTCCTTTGTTTTCCCTCCCAACTCCTTCCAGTCCAGTCATGAGTCCTGGCCCTTCCGGAGAGAATATGAATTGAATTGATGAATTCAAGATGCAACGGAAGAAAGTGAGAACCGAAATGAAGAACATTTTCAAGAAGCTTCACATAGGGAGCAACCACGATCCTACTCCATCCAATGAAACCCCTCCCTCCTCCTCCTCCGCAGTAAACTCACAATCGGGCGCCTCTGATCTCCGTACAGCTCCTGTTCAGTATTCTGGTACTCCTGTGCCTACTCCTCCTCCTCCTCCTTCTTCTTCACCATCGCCTTCCCCTGCTGCTCCCCCAGCTGGCGGCACTTCCTCTGCGCCACTTCTTACGTCCAATCTTCAAGACTATTTCTCTTCGGAGGAGGAGTTCCAGGTTCAGTTAGCCCTAGCCATCAGCGCTTCCAATTCGGAGTTCCCGGATGATCCTGAGAAGGATCAGATCCGAGCGGCAACGATACTGAGCTTAGGAGGTCATCGAACTCATTGCGCAACGAATAAGGATCACGAAGCGGAGGCACTCTCTAGACAGTACTGGGTGAGTTAAGTCAATTGTTGAAGTTCAAATTTTCCAGTGATATCGTTTTTCGTCGTTTCAAATTGAAATGTCGGCATCGATCTGGCATTTAAATTGGTATGGGTGATCAGTTAACGCTACTGAACTTAGGAGGTGATCCAACACATTACGTTGTATTTTATTTCTCGAGATTTGATTGAATTCTTTGTGCATAATTTTACAGTGGAGTGTACTTCGGGGCCGCTTTATATGTGGCTAGGGCTAGTAATTACCATGGACTGTTCAGTATTGATCATATTCTGATAGTTGAGTAGGGCTTTTTTAACTCAGGAAGTGGAGAGTAAAATGAAAATCTTGAATTTTTATTCGTTTCACATTAATCAAATCTTAAAAACTTGTGAACCAGAAGAACAGCAGGTTTTTATGCTTATTTTGACTTTTTTTAAGATTTATGTGGAATGCGGATATCAATTATCATAATTCTGGAATGATGTTGATTATTGGACAACTTAGGTCAAACAATGTTAAATAGTAAGTTGCTTATTTGGATGTACTCACATTATTTGATATTAGCATTGCAAATGAGTATTTGCAAACTGTCAGATTTTAATGTGTATGCTTGACTACGCAAAGAAATTTGTGTTTGTCAAAGATTTACTATTCTGATTAGCGGGGCAAACATTTTCTAAGGCAACTTATATTTCCTCTTAAAAATTAATCAGATACATGTCCTAGAGGGAGCACCCGGTTGCCATGCATTAGGTATCTACACGTTCTTAACTCTAATTGCCATGTGGATTTTGTTGATGCGAATTACTTCTCGTGCACCTGTATCTCTTATCTTTCTTATGAGGGGTATTTTAACTATCTATCACACCATATTGCCTCTTAACGAGTATTGATATTAAATTACTTTTACGCTCTATCACATTATAGTGGCTGGAATGATTTTTGCACCAAGCCAACTAGTGATCATGTTCTCTTTCAATTATTTTGTATCGGTTGGCTTCAAGACAGAAGTAACTTGAATTTGCATTGTAGCTGATGAACCTGGAATGCTTGTTGATTGTTTTGTTCCATTGTTACTTTGTCCCCTTTCCATGCGCTGTCCTTATCTTAAATTATTTTAGCATGGCTCGTCTTTCATCTTGCTTTTTGAATGATCAGGAATACAATGTTCTTGACTATGAGGAGAGAGTAGCAGATGGTTTTTATGATGTATACAGCCTCTGTCATGATGCTGCAATGCAGAAGAAAATGCCATCTCTGGCAGATCTTGAAGGAAACCCTGGAAATTCTGAATTTGAAATTGTCATGGTTAATAGAAAGATTGATCCTGTGTTGGAAGAGCTGTTGCAAATTGCCCATTGCATTGCATTAGACTGCCCAGTCACCAAAGTTGGTGTTTTGGTACAAAGGCTTGCTGAACTTGTTACAGGGCACATGGGTGGTCCTGTAAAGGATGCTAATATTGTATTGGCAAAATGGATGGAAAGAAGTACAGAGCTAAGAACATCTCTTCACACAAGCGTGTTGCCTCTTGGGTCCATAAATATTGGGCTATCCAGGCATAGGGCTTTACTTTTCAAGGTCAGCATTCTTTGTTGGTGGTCGGTACCTTGTTGGACATAATTTGATGTCAACACTCTGTAGTCTTGCCCTCATGGAACAAATAGGCAAAACATTAGGTAACAAACTACATATATGATATAACTTGGATGATAAGGTAAAATGTGTTGAATGATATTTTGTTTGAACACAAGCATTCATGCGGAAAACTTTTAGTGCTAATTTAGGGAAGTCCTAAACTGGATTAAATTTAGCTGAAATCATCTATTTTTTTTCCTCAAATCTGCTCATTAATATTTCTACAAACACACAGGCTTTAGAGTTTGAATGATTTAAGAATCTTAAGATTCTTGGTCATCATATTATCACAAAATTTTCTGGTTCTGCACATGCAAAATAAGTCATGTGACCGATTTCAGCATTTTTCAAATCCTACATTTCATTAGATAATCTTACTAAGGTTCTGTTTAGATTTTATCAATACATATTCGTCTTGCCCATCAAATTGATGGCTTTTTGGAATAATTTTTGTTTCTCTGGATTTAGGCATTAGCTGACAATATCAAGATGCCTTGTAGACTGGTAAAAGGTAGTCATTACACTGGTGTTGAGGATGATGCTGTGAACATAATAAAGCTGGATGATGAAAGGTTACAGATTTTGTTGTCATCCTTTAATTCTTCATTTTTTTTTCCAACTTATGGTTATTGATTTGTGTAACCATGCACATAAGCACATTCGTGTTTTGTGCAGTTGAAAGCATGCACTGTTCTCCATGTCCTGATGTCAATTTTGTTGTTTTTAAAGTATTGGTATTTTTTATGATGCAAACATTCAAAACCTCATTAATTGTGCCCAAAAAAATTTGGCAGCGGTCCTGGTACTGATATCTGTTAACTATTTTCAGGGAGTTTTTGGTTGATCTTATGGCTGCTCCTGGAACACTTATCCCAGCTGACTTAAGTGCGAAGGATACTGCCTTTAAGCCATACAATCCCAAGATTTTGCCAAGATTACAATCCAACAAAGAAAGTGGATTTCCTTACTCAAGGCAGACGTCATCTTATGGTGAAGAAAGTAGTCAAATTTCTGTGGAAAGAGGTGGTTCATCACCATTGAATGGAAAATTATGTTTTGAGAACTCAGACATATCTTCAAAAATGAGCTCAAGCAGAGACACCGGTGCCAGTGCTTCCAAAATGTCTGATAGAGCAACTTCCAGCCAACCATCAACAGGCACTTCACTGTACAAGGGGACTCTTGGAATGAATACACTTGGTGATGGGACAAGACTGAATGTCAATATTGTACCCTATGGTCCAGATAGCCCAGACAACTCAAGGAGCCTTTTTGCAGATCTTAACCCATTCCAGATAAAAGGAACTGGCAAGACCTCTGTACACAACAAGCCTATGGAAAATAAGTCTTCTGAGCTTCAAAATACGAGAGATAATTCTGTCTCTGGCCAACCCTCAGGGCCATTGATGTGGAAGAATCGTTATGCTTACAATGACATGCCCAGAAAAGTTAACTGTGATCCTAGTGAATATAGTAATCAATCATTATACAATTCTAATTATAATATAAATAAAGACAGAAGTACTCTCGATCTGATGGGAGTCACTGGTTCAGCATTGGGACCTGGTGCAGGTGGGCTGAACAGGATCAAGGATCTCAAAGAGGACTGTAACAAATGGAATGGGGGAGGTTTTGAAAATGACATGGTAGGTGTGGCTAAAGAACATGAAAACAATGAAATTAATTTTCATGACCGGAGAAAGTGCACTCATGACAGATTCATGGGGAGCAATTTGAAATTAAAGGCCTCAGAGCGTCCTACCTCATCAATTGATTCCATTGCTATTGGGGGTGATCAAATATTGGATGATGTAGATGTTGGTGAATGTGAAATTCCATGGGAGGATTTTATTATTGGTGAAAGAATAGGTCTAGGTAATGCAATTGGCTTGTCTTTAATTTGGTGTTGATATGGAATTGGTTCACTATTCAGTACGAAGAGTTCAGCACAGTAGTAAATGAACCAATTGATAACGTAGATTTGCACAAATTTACCGGACTTTTTAAGTTCTATTCTATTTATGAAAGTGTGGTTTTTAAATGGTGGTGAGCACTTTTAACCTTAAGTTCACTATTTTGATGTGTGGCATACTCTTGCAAGGATTCAAAAAGGTGTCTCAAGAACTAGTTACTGTTAAGGCTTGTAATGTGATTCAGATTAGTTTGTCTATATATTGTTTTTCACTGAGTAATTGTTCTAAGTTTCTGCTTTGTTGCTATTAGGTTCATATGGTGAGGTATTCCGTGCTGACTGGAATGGCACTGTGAGTATCATGGTTCTTTTATGTACTTGACTAGGAAGATTATGCATATTGAAAGGAAGTTTTTATGGCCGTCTCCTGAGTTTCAGCAATTTTTTGTCTCACTGATCTATCCTTACAAGTCTCAACAATATTAACTTATTAACAGACTCTAACTAACAGCATCTAGAATCTTCTGGGTCTTTTATGAAATGATGTATTGAAATTCCATTTAAGTATGCAGGATAGGAAACAGAGGAAAGAAATTATGATTCTGGGGAAGTTGATATGTCTTGCTTGGGCTGATAAATTGTCTTACTTTGCTCAGTTCTAGGACTTACTTACCCAATAGATAATGTGCTCAAGTATCCATTGTTTTTTTTTTACTGGTGGTTTATTAAAATATCAGGAGGTTGCTGTGAAGAAGTTTCTGGATCAGGACTTTTCAGGCGCTGCATTGGCTGAATTCAAGAGAGAAGTGAGCATTAAGCTAACATATACTTATTTGATTGAAAGAATTGGAATTGGAAAAATTGGGGAAATGTTAAGAATACCATTTCATTACTATAGATAATAAACTACTTGAAGACTTGAGTAGTGAACTAATTCACTAGTTATGAACTATATTTGTGGAAAATAAATGCATAGTTATAATGCTGGTGTTGCCTTTATAGAGGATGGCATGTGACCTAGAGATGGCTTTCTTGGAAAAAAGGATGGACATCAGTTATTATACTTTTGATGGTGATGAATTCATCTTGAACTTTCGTTAATTTTTTCCCCAATGGAACTAAAATATAAGAAGCATCACGTAAATCACTTAGGAGGTTGAAACTCTGGTACCAGATGTATTTTTCTTTCTGAAGTTGGTCAAACTACCAACTATGATATATTGGTCTGAATTTTCTCTTCAACAGAAAAAGTGGACTGTACAAATGACAGATCAAGTCATCTTTTCTTAAAAGCAAGGTTCACCAGATCAATTCATGAAAGGCAGTGATTTCATGGACAAGGGTCATATGTGATTGTTTTCTTATGGAAAAACAACTAATTGACGCCCTTTTTTCGCTAGGTACGGATCATGCGTCGATTGCGTCATCCAAATATTGTTCTTTTCATGGGTGCTGTTACTCGTCCTCCCAATCTCTCAATCATTTCAGAGTTTCTCCCAAGGTAGATTTCTTCTCTTTGATTGTTATCATTTTTTATTAGTCTCAGTTTTTTTGGTCCATCACATATCTTTAATATAACAATGTAATACTCATTATTGGTATACGTCTCACAAGTTAAGCACTCTTTGCATGATGAGCAATTAGTAGCATGACTTTTATTTATTGTTTTATTTATTTATCATCTGTCTAGTGCCACAACGGTGTTGTTGATTGAACATTTTTTAATACTGTTGATTGAATATTTTACAGAGGAAGCTTGTACAAAATTCTCCATCGTCCTAATTGTCAGATCGATGAGAAACGTAGAATAAAAATGGCTTTGGATGTGGTATGAATTATGAAATAACTAAATCATCATTCTTTTTTGAATAATCATTTTCATCCATGAAATTCCTATCTTATTACCCTCTGATCTGCAGGCAAGAGGCATGAACTGCTTACACACCAGCATGCCTACAATTGTTCACCGAGATCTGAAGTCACCAAATCTTTTGGTTGATAATAACTGGAATGTCAAGGTATGCAATTGAAGATTCATGTATAATCAATTTGCCTTGTTTCTCATTAATTTCATATTTTTCTTAATTTAGTGAAGTTGGTTGATGACCTGAAAAGTAAAATGTTATTAACTACTGGTTTTGGCGCAGACCATCATACTTTTGAGCAGAATCAAATCTAATGTAGTTTAGCGTATGTCTTTTGCCTTCACAAACTAACAATCACTTCAATGGCCTTGGAGTTACTCGAAAGGAAAATGCTAGAAGTTAATAACCACATCGTCTAGTCTGTCTTTATGTGTTAAGTTGGTTAAACTTTGATTATCTCAATCTATTGAATAAATATTCTCAATTATCTGGCCATCTGTAGTAATGCAGAAAATGTCATTTATGTCTGTGAGTGCACTGTTTAGCTTTTGCTAATACGGTATGACAAATGTGTGAATGATGGCTTTTTGCATGGTGGTTTATTTTTTGGACGTATTCTTAGAACTATAACGTACCATTACGAACTGTATTGGATGTAAATTTTATCTGAAGTTCTCAATTTAGTTAAGCATCTCACAGATTTTGCTGGGGAATGGGGAGAAGTGAAAGATTCACATGGTGAATAGCTGGCCAATGATAAAAACTCTATTACATACCTTCTCAGGTTTGCGATTTTGGGTTATCACGCTTGAAGCACAACACATTTTTGTCATCCAAGTCAACTGCTGGAACGGTGAGATTTTAAGAAAATTATGCAATCGTCTGGTTGATCTTATAGTTAAGCACATGCATCCTGTGTATTAATCTACCTTCTCTATATCCTACACTGAGTTAAACTTCCTCTACATGTTAGCCTGAATGGATGGCTCCTGAAGTTCTCCGCAATGAGCCCTCAAATGAGAAGTGAGTTTTGAGTCAAAAAATTATCTTATTCAATATATTTGAATTTATATATTTAACATTTATGTTCATATAATTTCAAGACATGCTTGCAGCTGCAGCCGAGTCTATTGAGGGTATTTTTAATATGTATCATGTTGTGGGTGCAGGTGTGACGTTTACAGTTTTGGAGTCATCCTGTGGGAGCTTGCCACTCTAAGGTTGCCATGGAGCGGGATGAACCCTATGCAGGTTGTTGGTGCAGTTGGTTTCCAATATCGTCGCCTAGAAATCCCCAAGGAAGTTGATCCCGTTGTTGCAAGAATAATTTGGGAATGTTGGCAACAGTAAGCCTCGTTAACTTATTAACAAACTAGATGCGAACGTCGTGCTTTATATCATGTCTGAAACGAGTCACATTGTTCAACACCTATGAAAAGTATAGCTTCTTATTGATATGGTGTGTGTGTTTTAATGGTTATATCTTTATTTTTGGAATTTTCTTCCATCAGTGTTTTCAAATAATGTGATGAAACTTTTCTTTCTATTCCTTTCACTCTTGATCCCACTTTTTTTATGCAGGGATCCAAATTTGCGCCCCTCATTTGCACAGCTTACTGTAGTTTTAAAGTCCCTGCAGCGTTTAGTTATCCCATCTCATCAAGACCAGATGGCTTCGCCTCTGCCACAGGAGATTTCTGTAAATTCCACCCCTTAGCAATGCCACTTATCTCAAGTGCGAATAAGGAGACATTCTGCATCACTTCTGTGAGGATAGCAAGCATTACAGGGACAAAAACGAAGAATTACATGGCTCATCAAAGATGGTTGTGAAAATATTTGAGCTGAAAAATATATCAATTGCTGCTGCAGCGGCAGCATCGGGCAGCAGAGCCATTTTGTAAATGTAAAATCACTTTTGTCATCATAACTTGTACGAGGAACCAATAACTGTAATATATGTAAACTAATTACTCCCGTCTCAAATTTAATGTATCTACTACGAAGGAGGTATTCTGTAAAGATGTCTGTTTGCGGGTGTGGGAGTTGGTGACGCTTCTGCTAAGGATACAATCCATCAATAGATGTTCAAATCAATAGGGAAGCTTGCTTGCAGGTTGGCAAAACTTTCGATGACGACGAGTGAAAGAGAGGCCAGAGGGCAAGAACAAACAAGACTAGCACAGTGGGGGGTGGGGAGGACGAGGAGCACTTGATGACAGAAAACTGTAGATACAAACATCCCTGACGAGGCCCTTGACAATTGCGTAATTTCTGAGGAGACCCTCCCTAAGGAAGCCGGCCTTCTCCAAAACCCTCTGGGAAGCCTTGTTGCGAGAATCAACCAGAGCCTCTAATCTCAGCAAATCCGGGAACTGGGCGAAGGCTTGGGACACGGCCATGTTTACTACTTTAGTTCCGATGCCTTGGCCCCAGAAGGATGCGGCAACAACATATCCAAGTTCTGCTCTGCATCTCTCGTCCCCTGAGCAAGGACTCACAGAAACCATACCGATGCAGCGCTCGTCGATGCATATGGAGCGACGCCAAGGGTGAGGTATGCAAACATCTCTAATAAAAGTCAAAGCCTCTTCCCTGCTTCTGATTGAGTCCATTCGAGTATTCTGAGTCACTTGCTCATCTCCTGCCCATAACATGAAATCATCAACGTCGCTTAGCTTGAATGGCCGTATAGTGATTCTTGTCAAGTCCATCGCCATGTTGGACCCCCTCAATCCCTCATCGCCGATTCTTAAGTCCCCTCCAAACCATGGGCCCTACAATCATTCTTTATTGATTATCCTTTGATACCGTCCAGGTGAATAAGTTTTTGAAGGAGCCATTCGCTCAATGGCGGCTCGTAGGTATAGTACGCTAAACTGCCGTAGATCATCTACCGAAACAAGAAACAGTAATTTACCTTTTTCTTAATTCATTTTCGCTCAAAAAATGATTTCGCTGTATTTTACATGAGTTTTGAAAAAATCAACTGCAAAATCTTACCTTATTCTTGACAAGTGTCGACCATTTCATTAGTCCAAATAAATAAATAAATAATTGATTGGGCTCATATCAGCACTGTAGAAAATATGATTTGAAGTATCTTCTAAGAATATTTATTATAATTAAGAATCCTTAAATTTGGAAATTAAAAAAATCATGGTTCTTGGTTGGAATTAAAATTTTCTTGAGATAATTTTTTAATACTTATTCTCCATATTTTCAATATTTGCCTTATACATTTTCAATATTCATCTTTAATGTTTTTAACACTTCATTTTTTAATTTTTTTCAGTAATCATTTTAGATCAATTCAATACTTGTTTTCTATATTTTTAAAACTAAAAAAATACGTGTAGGTGTTAAAAACATAGAAGATAAAATTAAAAACATTTTAGATTACTAAAAAAATAAAAAAAAGTATTGAAAATGTGAAAAATAAATACTGAAAATATGAATGATAAGTACCGCCAAAATCCGCTCAAGAAAATCTCAATTCTAGCCAAGAAATAAACTACAATTTTAAGCAGTAATTAATATTTTTAGAGGTCTTAAAAGGTCCTTTTCTCTTCTTTTTCTTCGATTGTTGCTTTTCAGTGCAGAATGAATATTTTGTTTGCTGGGCTGGCTCCCCCAGTGTTGGAGGACGATAGCTGTCCTGGCTAGCAAATGAATCATTAAAAGGACCCCAAGAAGCCCAACCAAAAAAAAAAAAGAAAAAGGAAAAAGAAAAGAAAAGATTTTCTCTCCATTTCTATATTTTCTAAAAATTTATTTTATTCTTGAATACAAAAAGTATTATGATATTTTTAAATAATTAAATAATTTTTTCTTTATTTTGAAAAATGAATGAGATATTAATTGTGTATTTTATCCACTACATTCACGATATTAATTGTGATATTATTAAGAGTAAAATTAAAAAATTATGAAAAAATTAATCATTTATAATTTTAATTTATTGTAATTCAATTCTTAAATTTTGATTCATTATAACTCAATTTTTAAAATTTTGATTCTATTATAATTCAATTTATAAACTTCGATTTTCGCTATTCAATTTTTATAATTTCATAAACTTAAATATTGATCCCTATATCTTAAAAAATAAAATTTTAAATATTAAAATTATATTAAAATTTATTATTAATATTTTAAATTACTATACCCTTTTAATCTTTATAAATATTATATAAAGTTTAAAATATTTTTAATCTTTATAATTTTTTAAAATATAAAGATCAATATTTAAGTGGTTAAAATTATAAAAACTAAATTTAACCAGCAAAATTTAAAAACTAAGTTATGATTAAATTAAAACTATAAATATTGAATTATAATTAATTAAAATTTAAGAATTGAGTTACAATTGAATTAAAATTATGAGATTAAGTGATTAATTTTACCAAAAATCATTGCCATCTCAGTGATTTCAACCAAATAACAAATCATTTATATTTAAATAATTAGTTAACCTGGCCAAAAAAAAAATAATTAGGTAACAGATCCGAACTGGCAACCATTCAAGACAACCTATTAACATACCATCCACCACACGCTCCTATTTGTTATGTTACAGTTACACACCAAAAAATAAAAACAGTTTAGCATGCAACCATTTCGCAAAAACATGCGCAATGAAGATGCATCTTCATTTTCGCCGTCAGATCAGATCGGACATTCTTCTTCTATGACGACGTAACATAACTACCACGTTAGGATCCGATGAAGTGAACATCCTGCTTCCAGGATTGGTGGTTTTTGATTCCAAACCGCTGCATTTAGGACTCTCGCCCGTGGTTTCACCAAGCCGAGATTTTCCAGTTGAATTCTGTATTACTGCTTTCAAGCGGAGATCCGAGCAGTTCAGTGATTGAGAACCTGAAAACTTGAGGGAACCCCTAGTGATCGCTGAACTTAAACTTCTTGATCTTCCAACAAGCTCTTTTTCCGAAGCACTTTGCCTTTGGCGACTGGCAACGGTGGAAGTCATGAATCGAGGCATAGAATTCGATATTTTTCTTTTAATATATTTCTTAGATGCTTTCGGGTTTTCAGTGACCTCTTTCACATTATTTTTAGGGCTTATAGGGGCACTGTCATTGTTTTCCAGAGGCTTATATGTAGCTGAGAAGACCTTTTTTTGTTCGCCTAACTTGAACTCAGCCTCCTGAATTCGATCCCTAAGTTTCTGGTGTTCCTTTTCAGCTTCCCTCATCTCTTCCTCAAGCTTCAGGATCTTCTTCTCCTTTTGCTTTCTCAATTCCTACGGTACACGGATGTAGAGATAGTTAGCAATCTTCAAACAGGTTCTGCTCAGGGGCTCACCTTGGGGCAACTGTCAGTACGTTTACCTCTGGTATTTCTTTGTTGTACTCTGTTGCTCTTGCCCTCTTTGCAAAGTTTAAAGAACACATCGTCTCACAAGCATCTTCCTCGGAAGGGCTTATGTGCACAAGCATCAAGACCTTCGAACCATTACCTGAATTACTAATTATAAATTAGACGTTTCTGATGTATAGATAAATTTAGCAAGCGTGACTATGCATGGTTCATACAGTTGTTGACCCTTCAACAAATATCCCACCGTTCATATTCTTGTATAATATATTCTGCTGAGCAGATCAAATTAGTTGAATCATGCGATCCTATGAATTTATACCAGTAAAATGTCCTCATTTTATGTGAGCAACAGTTGGTGCACACACCTAAAGAATCTTTGAGTATTTGAGTTAGCTTGCTATTTCTGCATACATGGAAGACAAAAGTCAGTTAGATGATGCTTTCACTGTCAGGAAAGATGCAGCAATTGAGATGGCAAGATAGCTAGTAGAAGCCAACGATATGGCCCATGTCTGCAGTTATCAGCTTTTTCAGGCATACTTTCACATCCAACAGCCAGAAGGACATTATTAAACTTGAAAGTATTTTAATGAAAAAAAAAAGGGCAGAGTACCTACCTGTAAGGCACATGACTCCTCTTATGATTAAACTTGGAAGTATTTTAATGAAAAAAAAGGGCAGAGTACCTACCTGTAAGGCACATGACTCCTCTTACTCCTCAAAGCTGCAATGACATCAGCTAAAGCAGAAAGAGAAAGATTAATGGCTCGGCCCTCATCAAGTGTTAATCCTATGGCTCCAGTTTTGAGTAACCGCTCGCTTCCTCCGAGATCAACCATCCACAACTTGCTTCTTTCCCTTTTGCCTTCCAAAGCGTATCCACGACGGGATATGGTGATCCTTGTCAAGCTAGATATATGAAGCTAAACAGATAATTTAATTATCAAGCTAAGAAACCCATGGAAAAGTATCTGATTAGACCTATAACCCACCAGTGTGACCTGCTCGATGCTTCATTCACATTAGTCCATGAAGTGGATCTTGCTCTTCTACCCTTGTTGTACCACCATCTGGCTTTAGCAGAATCTGAGATTTGCACTTCCGAGAGACCTTCAATTTCGACCAATCCCTTTGGATCTGTTTGAATGTTGAGATTGCTGGAAGAAGGGATAGCCAAAGTGCATCAGAGGAATGGGCCATTGAACTTTGTCTAAAATAGCACAAATCAGGAGCTAGAAAGCTCACCATCTAGTCACAGGTTCATATGCTCTACCGCATGGTCTCGGAGCCAGCAGATCTCTTAGACTACCCATGTAGACTTCTAACATGCTCATTGAAAATGTAAAAGATGATGAATCCTTTAGAGAGGCTTGCCGAAATAACTCCTCAAGAGCTCGGGGAATAATTCCTGGCTGCTCGTTTGTGCCATTCTACAGAATCATTTCAGAATTTAGACTTAACCGCTTTATATCTGGTACCGCTACACAGACGATAAATATACCACATGCATGTGAACACGCAATTCTGACTCACCATAGTGAATGACTTGCCGGTGCCTGTTTGTCCATAAGCTAAAACGCACACATTGTGTCCGTCCATTGCAGATCTGAGAATTGGCTCGACCTCCACAAAAACACTTTCTGCAGAGGCTCAAACGGGAATACTCCTTGAGAAAAATTTTGAACAGGAAAGTAAGGATAATTAAGCAAAAGCGTTAAATACTAGCCTTGGTTTGCTTCTCGAGGGAAAACCTTATCAAATTCAAACTCCTTCCTCGTTCCTCCCAGTTTAACCCGAATCCTTTCTGATGCAGCTGAAACGGGCTCAGAAGTTCTTCTCTTCTCCGCCAATAGAAAGGGTCGAACTCTGCAGAATACTCGAATGCTGCCTAGATTGTAAAATGCAACTCTTAACACTGTAAAGTATGGAATAGTATACAGTAGATTCCACTGTAAACAGAGCTTCTATTTAGACAGCATTTGCTCAGTACCTTTAATGTCTAATATCTTACTCAGTGCTTCTCTCCGCTTTTTATCAAATATGCACTGCTCATTCCTCAGCTGCTTAACTCCTCCTACACAACCAATTCAATTCCAAAAATAAGTCCCATTGTAGTTGCATAGAGTTCTGTGTCCCCCAATTAAATTCGTGATAAAGAAGATGACGAGACACTGTACTTTCTAAATTTGATATCAGTTGCTCTAGCTCGTTCTTTTCGTGTTCGGGAATAACGCCAACATCAGTGTAAATGGTGGAAACTGGAGGCGAATGGGGGAATTCAGCAACTGCTGGGGACCCATTAACCGAATCAGGATTTAAATTCGAAGAAGTTGATTTAAAAGCCTCGATGACAGCTTCTGATGCATGCTCTGAATGGAACAGAATCTGCTCTTCACTGGAAATAAACATCTTCCCAGGCAAAGCTGGGCGTATGGGCCACCAGAAACGAGATCACACTTGACTCCAGCCTTATCCCGCTGGATCGCTGATATCTCAAAAAACAACGCAGAAAATGAAACAGTAAGCTGGTTCTTCTGTGCACCCAAAATCTACGGAGTCTTTTATTGGGATCAAATACGAAAGGTTGAAGAAACACGTTCCAAATAAGAACCAGTGGAAGTTATCACTGCTTCTGAGTATATATCAGACTTTTCCTTTCCACGATGACTCTCGGGTATCAGCGATCAGTGATTCTGCTAAAAAGGAAAAATAAATAAGAATGGTTGACAACTAAACCAAGCAAAATGAAGCAAAGTCACAGTATCAGAAAGTACCCAGAACCTCTAGATACTATAAATCGAGACAGAATATGAAAATACTGAACGGCTCCAAGAACGAGAGCAGAGCACGATTTTTCAAACCTGACATGACGTGGGGAAAAGGAAGAAATATAGCTCGTCCTCGCCCGATATGACAGACAGCGTTGTAATGAAGCTACAATGGAGAAACATTAGCCATGATTCATGTAACCCACAAAAAATAAAAATAAAAATCGGGGAGTCATGGAAAGAAGAACCGGGTTCAAAAATTTAAGCACAGATTTTCAAAGAAGCTTGAAATTATGGGAATCACGGAAGAAGAAAAAGGCCTGGGACTTAGTTCAATGATTGAAAAATCTCAACGACCCTGATTAGGAGGTGAAAGTTCCTGGGGAGGCACAACAAGAAATAAATAAACGAGAAGGGCAGGGAGCCTTGGGGTTGGGCCAGATCTTCAACTGAACTGTCTGAACTTGTCTCCATCATGACTCGCTTCTCTCCATTTTCCTACTTTATTTCATCTGCCCTTTTCATCTTAATTATTAAATTTATTTTTAAATAATTAAAATCTAATATTTTATAAAATTATGAAAAATGAAGAGAGAATAAAAAAAGAAAAATGGAGGGAAGTCAAGTCCTGTCAGGCAAAGGAGGGCAGAGCAAACGTCGAATAGAAAGTTGAAACTATTCCTTTTCTTTTTTTTTTTTACTGGCACTTTTAATATATTCAACAAAATTAAGAAAATTTTAAAATTTATTAATTATATTTATAAATTTAATAATTTTTTAATTTTATCATTATTAAATATATATATTTTAATAATATATTTTCTCTCTACAATATTCAATAAAGGTGAAATAAAAAAATTTATAATAAAAATTTAAAAAAATGAGTTATAAATAAAATTAAAAAATTATTTTATAAATAGATTAAAAAAATGTTAATTATTATTAGGCGGCGGCCTAACAGGGAAAACGACACGCTTAGGGCCACGTAAAAAATAATGCTGATACTAATGACTTCAATTTTTTTTCCAACATTTATTTAAGACTTCAAAATTTAAACATATCACATGTCCAAAAAATTGAACATATCAATTAAAAACCTTAGCCCTTTATTAACCAGAGAGGATTCAATTGATCAAATCATCAAAATGTCCTCATTTATATACAAGCTGGAAATCATAAAAAGTAATTAGAATTTTTAGAAATTTAACTAAAATAGTTTTCAATTGGTTTTTTTTTCAGTTAGAAATGTTATTCCACTGTAGTTTTTAACGTATATAATGCTAAATTAAAAATAAATATGAAAATTATTTAATTGAGAACTATTTTAACTTTTACGATTTTCAACTTTGCTTTATAAGAATTTCAGCTTCACATGAAACAAAAAAAAAAAACTTTAGTTAGATATTTTTAAAAACATCAGCAATAAAATATTAAGATATTTACCCATTATTTTCAAATTTTCTCATCTCTCCATCCCAAATTATAAAATAATTTGAGATAAGATCATGCATGTCAATAGGATTAATAAGTATCATAAATCTTAAACTATTGCGTGAATAGCATCATCAACTTTAAAACTTTTAAAATGTGCAAAAATTCTCCTCAACTCTTAAATTTCAAATGCCTAAAATATTGCCATTAAGTTGAAGGAAAAAAGCTATTATTTTTGTAATTTTGGGGCCTAATCACACACTAATATGGCACTCATCTTACCTCTTAAAAATAACAGTCATTTTTTCTAATCTAACAACAAGATTTCAAGAATTTAAAATTTACAAGTTAAGAAAAATTTTTACACATATCAAGAGTTCAGAGTTTAAGATTCTATTTGTATTTAGAATGCTCATTAACCCATATCAATAAAACACAATAATCATACCTTACAAACTTACTTTTTAAAATAAAACTATAAACTTCAAAAATGCCCTATATACTTAATTATTACAATATAATATCATTTTAGTTATATTTTCACTTAAAAGGTAATATTAAAAATATTATTAATAAAAAATTTATTTTTAAAAAATTTTTTTGTATTTTAAAATGAAAAAATTCTTCAATACTAGTTTATAATTTGGGAGGAAATGAGCATTATTTTTATTTCAATCATAAAGTATATTGCCTCCGTCCCAAATTATAAGATGCTTTTAAAAGATGTTTGACTTCTCAAAATATAAAACACTTTAATAAAAATAATATTTTATTAATAATACTTTTTTAATATTATCATTCCCTTTACATTTTCTCTCTTTAATATTCTTTTAAAAATAAAGTATTAAATAATGGATAATTTTTTAATTTATATTTCTGTCTTGAACAAAATAAAATATTAAAATGAATTTAATAAATTTTATTGATTCATGTAATTTTATAAATGTCTTGTAGATTAGGATGGAAGGAGTAATTTTTGTTTTTTTAGTTCTAATTGTACTCATGTTCATACCTGCTAGGCTGCTTCTACTTTTACCATGGCGACGTGCTCCTCGGCAGTGGAAACTTTTTAATTTAATAAGTAATAAGGAATAATTACGGTGTCTAGATATTTAGCATCTTCCGATGTTGGGAAATGATTTGTTAAAACATGTGGCGTGCTGTAATTTTATATTGTTAATTCGCAATGTAAAATATGGAGAATAAACATTAATTAGAGTTAATAAAAGCGGTGGAATTTCAGTTACTTGAACAAATAGCCATGGATTGAACCTTAAACCTTATATATGTAGTAATTTAATTGGAAAAGATCTACTATTTATTCTTAATATCTTAATAGATGATCTCTATTATTGGTGAAACCTGGTCCTTATGTTATAAAAAAATTATATAAAGAATAAATCATACTTCTCTGTCTCAAATTATAAGATATTTTAAATAAAATTATATATACTAAAGTTAATTAAATACACGTCACAACTTTAGTTTCATAAAAATATAAAATTTAAAAATATTTTTAATTTAAACAATACGCAAGATCTCTCTCTTTCCCTCTGTCACTGCTCTCTCACTTTCGATCTCTCTTCTTTCTCCAACTTCTCTGTCTCCCTCTCCTTCATTCCTTCCCTTTTGAATCTCCCTCACTCTCGCTCCAACCTCCCTTCTTAAAGCATAAGAGTTTTTTTCTTTCAAAGCTTGTGTGTAGCTCTTCGAATGTGTTGCCTTTCTACTCTGTTTTTCTGACTTTTTTCTGCTATTTCGTATGCTTTCGATATTGTTTCATCTACTGTGTTCATGTGTGTGTGAGTCTGCTCTTTTGCACCTATCTCTTCTTTCTTTTACTCTACATGTGGTCAAGTATGCTCTCTCTCTACTCTCTTTTTGTGTTTTTTGTGTGGTCGAGTCTTTTGAACATGCATCTGCTTTTTGCTCTTTGTTTTTTTTTTGTTCTGCATTTGTTGTGTTAGTGTATGCTCTCTACTCTCTTTTCTACTCGTGCGTCTCTGCTGTGTGGCCGAAAGGCTTGCTCTTTGCATCTACATGTCTCACCTCTGCTCTTTGCTTCCTTTGCTTCTAGCTTTTTCTTTCTTTCCACTCTGTTTTGTGTCTGCTACGTGTGCGTTTGCTCTGCATTTCTTCCATGTCCAACTAAAAGCGGAGAAAAGGGATAAAAGGGGTGAGTGAAATGCTACAGATTGTAGCGTTTCACTCTCCCTATTATTTATTTATTTTTTTAATGCTTTTACTTTTTTTCTTTGGTTAATCTAATTTCTAAAATTAATTTAAAATAGTTAACTTTTAAAATTTAATTTTCAGTATTTTTGAATGGTTGGAATAATTTGGGAGAGATTTTTAAAGATTTAAGCAAGATTATTTTTTTTATTTTGTTAGATTATTATTATTTTTTAAAATATAATCCTAAAAAGGATTTAATTTCATTTTTTATATTTTTATTTTTTTGGTTATTTTTTAATGAACTAAAAGAAACAAAATCCTAACCAACAAAAGATTATCTAGACTAAAATAAAATAGAACCCTATTATTTTTTTGAAAATATAATTCTAAAAAGAATTAAATTTTATTTTTATATTTTTATATTTTTTGGTTGAAATTATTATTTTTTATTAAATGTAAAATATACCCGAACAAAATACAGTGTTCATAGTAGGTATTAACTGCCACGGTGGATGGCACGGAGGGACTTCATCCCTCTTTATGCTATGGTGCACCAACCTTGCGTTGTGGCGTATTCCTACTATCATGACATTTATGCTGTCACGATAACTCCTCTGGCCAACTTTCTGAGTACGTCGTTTTACTATCTAATATTTGAATTGAGTAATTCAAGTGTTCGCAACCTATTCATTGAGCCTTTTAGCTAATGACACCAGTTTCACACCCAAACACTCAACCATTTAAAAGTTGGACACTTGAACATAAGTTTATCCATTTTTCTTTCAAAACCACTATAAGGGTGTCTAGACCCACAAACCTAGTGCTAATAACCTTGAAACCACTTAGATCAACTCAATTAGACCACTATTAACACCACTACAATAATAATAGTTTATGCACAAATTAGTCATCAAAACCCTAATTCCATAATGGATTTAGAAGGTAACAACTAAATATGTTTAAGCATTCTCATGGCCATTCAAACACATAATCAACACAAAAACATCACTTGCACTAGTATCTCAACATCTCATATCAATTTCATCATAGTTACATCATCCAAGGTCAAGATACCCACAATTACAATTATTTCTTATATAAGTAACCTCAAAACAATACATGGTGTTAAGTTGGCATAAAAATTCATAAGTTATTCATTATAATACCAAAAGAAAAAGAAAAGGAGCTATACAAGCTAAAGCTCTTCAATCCTTAATAGTCTCTTCCTTCCCTTTTCTTCTAACGGAGCTCTCACCTATAAAATATAACCACAGAGTGAGATAAATATCTCAATAATAAAATAACTTACAACTATTAATTAATATTCACAACTGTAAACAAATAAAGTTTATATATACAAAAATACATTGACACGTGTCCGAATATAAATGTTTCTATATCTATAAGTCATTTTCACACTCTAGCATAATCATTCTATCATCTAAGCCTCCATATCACCTTAATTGAAACTAAAGGTTTTTTTAGACCAAACACACACATATTAGCCTAAGCACATCTTTAGTGATAGAATCACTCAATCAAAAGTGTCTTATCTTACTCCAAGACTATGGTTTCCCCCTATCACACATGAATCGAGGTGTTGTTACTCTACTACCATATCGCACTGATGCTAAAAAGTGTAAATATCCAACACCATACCTCACATGAGTACCAAAAAAATAATCTCCAACATTGTACCTTATTAAGCAACGAGGATATAAATGTCATATGAATTTCTATTACTCCTTCCTACGGCTAAACTCCCACCCCCTGTCATGATCATGCTTACTCTTCTTATAAATATCACATACTAGCATCTAAACCATAATTTACTTATATAAAAAAATTTTCATACATTCAT